ATTCGTGCGCGTGTGCCTCGCTCCATGTGCTCCGTGCACCCTCGTGCCCCCACGGCTGCATCCTCCCACTTGCTATCGCGTCCCGCAACCGAGCGAGGTGACCTCGCGATGCCTTGTGCTCGTTTTGAAGTGACATTGGTGGTGGGGACGACTCGATCGGGGACGACACCCCCCATTTATCGAAACACGAACCGATTCGAGAATCATTATTCGTTCGCAAGCACCGGTGTGCCGCCGACGAACGACGCGACTGCGGCAGCAATTTGTTGGCGGGCCCAGACCAAGTGGCCCGAGTCTTTGGTTGCGTTGCGGGCGAGCATGTCTGCACAATGGGCCGTGCCTTGGATAAAGATGGCGCGCGACGACGTGGTGGCCAACTTGGTCGTGTTGTCGACGGCCAGCACGTGCCACGGATCGATGGTGCCGCTCGGAAACACAACGTTGTCGACGTCAATGCCGAGCGCGCCGTAATAGTTGTTGGTGCGCGCAATGTCCGGGCTCGTTTCGATGCCAAACACGCGCTTGCACACTTCCAGGCCAACGTTCTGCAGCGTCTGCGTCTTGAGCGCAACGAACGGCGACCTGGCGCTCGTGGTCGTTTGAAAGTACCCGAACTCGTTGCACGTTTGGTAGAACCACTGGCGCGCACTAGTGTGGCCGTTGAAGCGGACGTCCCGAAGGACTTCGACTGTCCCGTTGGCCGACCCTTGGAAGCTCGAGTCCAGGCACGACTTGGGGTTTTGCAGGCCGACAAACGTCTCGAGCTGCGTGAGCGAGTCGGCCGTTTGGTTGGTGAAGATGCGGCACACATCGGTCAACGTTAACCCGCCCTTTTCGTCGTTGTACTGGGCCACATCTTGGAACAGCGACATCACGGACGACTCCAAGACCGAATCGTCGAATTCGTTCCGGCGCGGCGTGCATGGCTTAAACCGGCGCTCCAACGTGGCCTTGGATGCGTCGGACGAGTCCGTCACCAGCGCGTGAAACGAGGTGATCGCGTTCTCCACCGCGCGGTAGCAGTCGCCGCCGCCAAAATAACGAAGCCCAGACCCCACGACCTCCATGTACTCTTCAAAGTTCTCCTTGGCGACGAGCGGAGCCGAACTCGCGACGCTGCCCCGGACCAAGTGCGGGTACTTGAGCTTGAACCATGCCGCCAACGCGCCAGGGTAGCTGCCACCAAACGCCACCCACGCACTGCGCTGAAGACCATACACGTCTGTCAGATACGCGTGGATGCGCGCCAGATCGAACAGCGCCTAGCCATGGACGACGACGGTCAAGTGGATGCGGGACGCAACAAGCGTACTTGTTGACTCGACAGGTAACGCAGGTTGTCCGTCGTCATGTTGGGCGTGGGGTACGACGTGCCGTAGAAGCGATGCTCGACTCCCACGAGAAGCGCTCGGTGCTGCTGCGCCAGTTCGTGGATGTAGTTCCTCTTGGAGAGCGCGGTCGCCGTCAACGGGCCTTCGCCGCCAATGTACAAGAAGACGGGAAACCGTTCCCCGGCCCAGAACTCGTCGTTAATGAAGTACCGCTGGTTCCAGTACTTGGTCGCGGACACTGGGGCAAAGTGATCGACGACGGCTTTCGTGTAGTTATGCTCCGTGACAGATGACGCGATGCCAGTGCCAGCAGCCACCTCAGGGTAGTACTGGATGTGGTGCTGGTGGCCGCGGAAGTCGTCGAGGCGATGGCGCTGGCTAAATTCGCGACCCGTCACCGACGTGAGCGCGAGCACGAGGATTGTGGCTGCCCACCGCATGCTCTTGCGCCGTGGAATGCGAAAGTGAGCTCGCCGCACTCCATGCCGTTCACGTTGAAGTTCAAGAGTGCGACCACAACATTTTGGGATGGTCAAGTGACCCGATTTGAACGATCGTTTCAAAGGTATTTGGGTATACGTATTTCAACTTTACAATGTCGAACGATGCAAATCAACCCATATTGTTGGTCACGTGACATTATCTCAAGAAAGGATACGAGCACCTTGGCTAGATTGTGTGGAGCTCAGGTTGCGTCGCCGCCGTACGCGTTTGCCCGCCGTGGAGAACCAAACGAGTGGCGCCGCTCCCTCCACGACAGGCGTGCCGTAGTGCAGAGTAAACAGCGGCCTTGTTGAGTCCTGAAACGTGTGGTTGTCGTCTAGGTCCGCTGCATATGACGATGCCGTGGTCTGTATTGGCTAAAACGATTGTATTTGAACCAATCAAATGGCAAGGATCTTTTGGAGTCATTTCAGAAACCTCTCGTGTGGACGCGCGCGGGGGAAAATGACGTCGTCGCTCCAGATCAAGGAGGTGGTCGCGGAGCTGGATGGTCAGCGATCTGTCGCGGGAGAGCTTGTCGTGTATCACCCGGTACACACCATTCGCTTGACGATACTCGGTTGTGATGTAATGCGTTGCAGGTTCGAGACAGCTTTGTGTCGGTCACGACAACGTCGCTTCAGGAAATCGATGCGCGGACGGGTGTGCTGGTAGGCGAAGTCTTGTTTGATGGGTCGCTCCTCGGCGACAAACCGAACGCTTTCGAGTGTTTGGTGGCATGTGGCCACAAATACGTCGTTGCCGCCTTGTCCAGGTCGACACCCTGTGCAATGCCCGACCCATGACTCATGCATTGCACCGCTGCCTATGCAGATTCCTCGTCATCTGGGACTTGCGGGAAATGGTCCTCGCCCACATTGCCGAAGTGGCTGTCGCGGGAACGATGTCGCAGAAAACCAAACACATTTCGGCGCTCACGGCGTCCACGGACGTCGTCGGCACACTCTTCTTCGCGCACGAAGGGAGCCAAAGCATTCGCGTTGTTCCTGTCGATGCGTTGGTGCAAGGACGGTCGACAAGCATGCGAAAGGTGCTTCGAAAGGCCGCTACGCGGAATTCGGCCATCACCGCATTAACCTACCACACCTCGCATGCAGTGCTCGGTTGCGGGGCTTCCGACGGTACGTGCATGCGTACCGATCATGCAATCCGACCGACTGCGCCGTCATGTCTTGGATTGTACTGATGTGTCGTTGCACTTTGTAGGCTCGGTGCAGCTGTGGAAACTTGCCGATACCAGCGAACTTGCGGCGGGTCGCGCGGATGCCGCCGCCGGCGAAGCTGTCCGTCCAAACCCATGCCGCACGACGACTCATCTTTGTTTAGGAACTCACGCATGACGTGGTGGCCGCGCTCAACGCAAAGCCCGCGGCCGTGCAGTCGCTGGTCGTCCACGTCACAGACTCCGGAGCCCTTCACGTGGCCATTACGTATGTGTCCAGGCATATTGACGTGTACCGGGTCCAGGATCGCCAGCTCAGCCCATCGACCCCGTACGAAGCGTCTCTCCTCCGATGTCGACATGAGTTTGATGGTGCGATGTCTTGATGCAGCATTGGGAGCGTTGGCTTGCCGCACGGATTCACGTTTGCAAAGAAACAGGCGATCGCTTTCGGGCACGTCCCGAATACGCTCTTGGTCGTGCTGGATGACGCGGCGACGGTCGGCGGCGCCGTGTTGCATCTCGTTCGGTATGGCGGCCCGGACGACGCGACTCGATTTGGCACGCCGTTGGACCTGTATGCCCTTGGCCCAAACGACCCCTCGGCGTTCGTCCATGTCGCCGTGTGTGGCAGCCACGGGTCGGCGTTGTACACGTCGACTGCGACCGGCCGGTCGGTGGCATGTCTCGGCTACGCAGACGACGAGCCGATCGACGTTGCCAGCCCAACGTGTCGACAGTGGAGCACGTCGATGCCGCTATCGTTTGGCCAGTACTGCCACCCCGAGAGCATTCCCGACAGCTTTCTCCAGCTGGCATGGGTGAGTCCGTTGGTAGCACGTATGCAGCGACTCAGTCGGTTTGTGGTGGTAGTCGTCCGACTTGAATCGGTACGACGTGGCCAAGCTGTCGCTAAAAACGAACGACCGGTGCCCCGATGTGTCGTTTGGCACGGTGCCACACACGCTGGAGAACCAACTCGCGATGCCACTGCGGCTCGTGGCATCGCCCGACTTGGCTCGTGCCGGCGTTCTCTTGGAAACATCGTCGTCGGTCGCAGTCTTTGTCACGTCGGCAGAGTCGTCCGCGACGTACGACGTGGCGGACGCGTGCTTTACACTGCAAGGACACCTCGTCACGCTCGTTCCGTCTCGGAAAAGCGTGCGTTGGCACGACGATGTCCAGTCCGCTGAGCCGCATGGTGCGTCGTTTCCGCTGCCGGTGGCCGCCGACCGCATCTTTGCGACCCGCCTCCCCTTGGACAACACGTCGTACGTGCATGATGCATGCATGCATGGCTGACGACGCGGGAAAAGGGACATGTGCAAGATCTTGTTTGTCATCCGGGACGCGGCACACGACACACTGCGACTGAGGTACGCCACGGTCGCCCCAGGACTGGCGCCTCATCGGCCGCGTTGTCTCCAGCGACCGCTCGTTGGCGTTCGCTGCCGACAGCCCGATCATGTGGACATCCCACAAGACTGAGCGGGTAGTGGACGTGCAGATGGAACCGTCGACAGGCCAGCTGCACAACGTACCTCCAACATGTGATCGCCATGCGCTAACTTTTGTCGAGCCCAGATCGCCGTGCTGACAACCCACCGCGTCGTGATTTTGGATCCGTCGTTGGTCGCCGTGGCGTCGTACGCGCCGACGAATCCACTCGTCATGACGCCGGTGTCCATGCTGTGGATTGGGTCCGCGATTGCGTTTGTCACGGGCGGCGGCGGCGCGCTCTACTACCTGCCCACGCAGAAACAAGCTACGACCGTGCCAGCATTGCTGTGCACGTTGGCAAAGCCAGCGCCGTCCGTGGCGTTTTCCGCGATCCAACTGATCGCGATTTTGCCCGACCGGCTCGTGTACACCGTGCAGCTACCGACGTCGGGCACTGTCGCCGTAAGTTGGGACGCCGCGTGGAAGGAGCTTACCGACTTGGCTAGACACTCACGCGGCCGTTCTCTGTCGTTGACGTGCTTGCGCACAGTCAGGACGACTTTGACGTGACGAGGCAATATGTGATGCGAGAACTCGACTGCTCGCCGCACATTTCCGTCAGCCATCGGCTCGTGTCAGTGCTAGGCACGCACGACCCGGAGCTGTGTTTAAGGGCGCTGTCGCCGCCTCCATCGACGACGGGAAACTTCCGCCAGACGTCGCACTTGTCGACCGCAGTGGTGTGCAACGTCCTCATGACCGTCCATCGGTGGAAGGATGCGCTGCTACATGCGGTGGTCGACGACCCTGGCCTTCAAGTACCCATCGACATCGTCAAACGATGCATGACTCTCAACCCTCGAGCTAGGAATACGCAAGTGACCCCGTCGGCGCGAGTGGGGCACAGCTGCCGCAGCGGCTGAGCGGCATGTCTAGCCAGTTGAGTCATTTCGGGCGGATCATGGAGACGTTTGGTCAGTTCAGCGTGGCGGGCCAGTGCTACGATGTCGCGGGCAACGACAGGGCGCTCGTGGAGCTTGTAAGTGTACTGCAGTGCGGGTTCCCGGCGGAAAATGACTCTGGCTGCAGGTGCTGAAGTGTGGCGAGCGTGAAGCCCTCGATGCGCTCGTGAATGCCATTCGACCGACCAATGGACCTCTCGCCGCGGCCTTGACGGGCGGCACTCGCCCCGAGATCATGCCGAAGCACGACCCGTTTCGATTGCTTTGCAACGAGCACGTAACATTTGAGCGCCGCAGTCGATTGCTACCGTCCGTCACGTCGGTCCTGCGCCAAGCCAAGCTCCAGAGTCCGCCAGCACCGACCATGCCGCCTCTGCAGTGGAAGTACTACTCGTGGCGGCGTCTGGCACCGGAAGAAATGGGCGAGTGGACCGGGTCGACCCATGTGCACTACGCGACGGAAGAATTCAAGCCACGCAAGCATGCAGCTGCGACGTCTGCGGTTGCTGGAAAGCTAAGTGTCGACACGCAGCAGAGCAGCTTCCACGACGCGGACAACGGCGGCGGGGCGGCGGGCCCTCTGTCAACCGCAGCGGCGGCAATCGGGCCGTTCCTCGAAGAAGAGGATGGAGTTGTCGCGTACTGGCGGTTTGAAGAAGGCGCAGCCCACGCCACCGTCACAAGCGGAACCCAATTCGTCGACACGTCCAAGCGTGAGAACCACATTACGCTTCAAAACCTTGACCTGGTCGTGTCGACTGCGCCCGTCGACCGCGGCGAAGAAGCCAAACTCCAACCGGTCTGCCATCGACGTCGTTGTGGAAGTTGACGGGACTGCGGTAGGAGTACGCGCTGCGATTCCCGTCGCCGTCGGCTGGCGGTTGTGGCCACGTTGTGGTGAAGAAAGGAGCGAGTACGCTCGACATTGGCGTGAGCTACGACGACGATCCGTACCGGCGCAGCTTGACTGTCGAGATGTGGATCAAGCCGGTCGAGACGGCCGCTGGCGCGTTCACCGGCACCCTCATGCGGCGGGAGACACCGTCGCCGGGGGACGCGTTGTGGGAATTGGCCGTCGACAGCGGCGCGCTCGCGTTTACTCTGCTCGGACAAACAGTCCGGACGGACAAGTCGGCAGTCAAGGAGGCGACGTGGCAGCACGTAGCAGCAGTCGTCGACGTGAGTAGCGACGACAAGGCAACGATTCGTCTTGCGGTCGGCGGCGCCGTGGCCGTGACCAACGACGTCCGGCTGCCGAAAGCAGCTCGGTCTGGCGACGTGTCGACGCTGGTCGTCGGCCCCAACCTGGGCGGCGTGGAAGTGACCGAGATCCGCATCTGGGCGACTCCCCGGTCCGCGCAGCAGCTCCACGACATGAAAGAAAACTACTTGGCGATGGCAGAATCGAAGAAGCGCATCAAGATGAAAATCCACAACGTACGTCCATGGATGGGTACCGGACACTTGATGAAACTCACGGGATTGTGATAGCGCGACTGCCAGTGCGACAAGTGCCTTGGCCGGCGGCAGCACACCCCGATTGCCAAGCTCGCGATGGTCCAGCCGCTCGCGTTGACGCCGACGAGTCGCGATCGACGCCAGCGCATGAAAACCCCCAAGAGCGAAGAAACGAGGACGTAATCCATTCAATGCAACCCCACGTCCCTTCCTCCGTGATGCGACGCCGTCCGTTTGGAGCGCACATGACACGACTTCAAGTGTGAGCCCCCGCGACGTTCGGGCCCATCGTGAGCTACATCTTTGTGCTTCATGGACAGCATCCGTGGCGAGCTCGCACTTGCCCACCTGCCCACGTGGACATTACGTCGCCGCCTTTTACTGTTCGGTCGACAGGACAGCTCCAAGCAGCGATACGCGAATGACCTTTAGAGATGATGACGCATTCATCCACATGGATGACTCGGGCCAACGCTGGCTGCATGACTTGACGAGAGGACGGAGCTGTTTGTCGCATTAGCCTCAGTCCTGGGGAATCTCGGGATTGACGGCGTCGAGGGCGGGCGAGTCGTAATTCGCAAACGTGCCGTACTGGTACACCAAGTGCGGAATGCTAGGCTGGAATCGTCGGAGGGTGCAGCTCAGAAGAGTCGCCAGCATGTCCTTGTTTTCGGCTATATGGATCCAAGTGTCAAATCGCCCTCCAAGACGACGATGGCGACGCGTACCAATCGTGGTCAAGAGGAGCTTCCCACCGGGGGCCACGAGAAAGCGTGCCGACTCGGCATACTTTGTCCAGACGTGCTCGGTGATAAATGGCGGGTCGATCACGATAAAGTCAAACTTGTGCGCAAACTCGTCGGGGAAGGTCGTCGGGTGGTTGAAGTCGTAATGTACGACTCGGGGCAGCGCCACGTCGTAGTCAAATAGGACAAAGGTGGGTTTGGACGTAGAAGCGGATGCGGCATCGTTCTGCAGCTCTTCGCACGCGTAGTACAGAGATGGCGTCGACAGGAACGCGACCGCGCTCGGGTTGTTGCGCAGGATCTCTTTTGCTAGATACTGCAGCAGGCACACGCGCATGAGATGCACGCCGTGTGACGCCACCACCACCATGGCCAACACGGTCCTTACCTCGATTGTCTTCGCAGAGTACCAGTACTGATTCAACTCTTCCTTCTCCTTGTACGTCGCCGCAAACTGCATCCCGCCGTGCCGGAGCAAATCACAATGCAGCGCCGCCGTTGTCGTCGGTTTCAACGAAAAATAGGTAAAAATATCTACAAATTTAGATGAAATTCCGTGATACATTCGATTGATTTTCATAAATCCAAACATACGATGCAAAATCAAAAATCCACACGGGAAGCGAGACGACGCCGCTGCCATGCACTCCACGCGGGCTCTCGCACAGCCTTCTGTCGACAATCTCGTCGTACCAAGACGGATGCTTCTGCCGCGTGCGACGCAATGAAACAGAGTTGTGGTCCGTGAGAGCAGCGCACATTGAGTTGTTTGCCTGTGTCGTCGCAGAAAACGTCCCCACGACGAGAATCGTCATTCGAAAGCGATGGAGGATCCGTATAGAGTCATGCACCTCGCCATCGCAAACCGCAACGTTTCAGCAGTTCTAGCCATCCTCGCTTGCCGCCCAGTCCGTCTCACACGATCCGCCACCGACTGGGCGTGCCAACGCGGCGTCCTCGTTGCCACGCTCCCTTGTCTCCCCTACGATAGATGAACAACTTGACGTGTTGTCCCTCGGCATGGACTGGAACGTTGTGTGGATCTTACGCGCGAACGGCAGCGACCACGCGACCGTCAACGCGATGAACTGGAATGCCAGGGAGACATTTCACGTGATGAAATGTCACTACAGCTACCGACACAACGGGATGCACTGTACCTGCCATGGACGCGGCGGCCGAGTATCGCCATCTCGACGTACGGCCACTTCGAGAGCGTTAAGGATTGACGTGGTGGTGCCACGACGGTGGTCTTGTCCTTGCGCGCTGTACGGTGCGAAGGATGCGCATCGCATGCGCGCGACAATGCCTGCCGCAATACTTTTCCATGCAGCGGGCCGCACAGAGACAGTAGGTGCCATCGACGACGCTGCGAGGACTGCCGACGTGAAAGGGGCCAGACGTTGGCACGTACACCGGCAAGTTGTGCCAGTGACGAAGCCGCCAATATCAATGCCGTCGTGCGAGTTCTATGACGGCCACGACGCCGTGCTGCGCTTCCTTCTGCTGCTACCCATGTGTTTCGAGACGGACGTAGACACTGCGGCGTGCAGGAGGAACGGGTCCTCAACAAGTCTTGCTCAAAGTGTCGGCCGAGGTCAACGGTGCAAAAGGCAGCTAGACACGGTTGATGTCGTGGTTGAAAACTCTGCATTAATTCACACCATGGTCGACATTCAAGCCCCATCTTTCCATCGCTGCTTGACGATTGGGACCTCTACACCCGGTCGATTTCTTGGGCGACTTGGCCGTATTTTACAATGCAGTCGGGAGTTGGAAAGTAGTGGACGACAAAGCGGGACCGGTCGACGTGCAGCAGCGCCGTGTCGTCACTGGGGACGTAAATTTGAGGCGATGCTGTTGCCGACGCAAACAGGTCAAACGGTTCCGCGCCATCTTGCCGAACGAGGCGTGCGTACAAGACTTCTTCGTCAACCAAGCCGGAGAGGAGGAGGCGAACTTGCTGCGGCGGCAGAACGCCTTCGACCCCCGACAGCACAGCGGCTTCCGTGCATCCGGGAAACTGGATCAACAGCGCGACAATCTTGCGCTGGAGCCGCACGAGCCACGGTCCATTCGCCTGTGTATTGAGCTTCAACCAGGGATGCGGGGTCGTGCCCATGGACGTGTCGAGCTGAATCGCTCCACGAGCTGTCGTTGTGTACGGGTACACTGTCCAGATCTGGGAAAACTGGGGCAGGACGTACACCAACGACGCCCAACCATGCACCGCGACCAGTTTGTCTTCGTCAACATGCACGTCAACGCTCTCGATGACGATATCGCGGTCGTGGCCAAGCGCCAAAACAAGGTCGTCTATCGCCATACCCCCTTCCTCCACGGTCAGCAGGACGCGCTCGAAGCTGGCAAACGGAATGAGGCGCTTTTTGAGCGCAGCAGCTTTCATTCGCTTGAGCCGAGGTTGTTCGACTTGGTGGGAAAACACTTCGTACTCTGGCGTGGACGTCGTGTTGTTGGACATGATAAACGCGGCGTGCCACTGGTCCAGTTCGGACTGATCGAGGTGGTTGAGCAGTCCGCAGCCACTCGTGGAGAGGCGGTGGTCGCGACGGCGCTTGAGTGCTTGGGGTTTGGGGCCCTTGGCCGTGTCCTGCAACGGTATGTGCCGCACTTGGTAATGGCCGTGGCCAAGGACGAGCGCCGTGTGCTCGACAGCGCCGCAGCACCGAATCGAGTCCTCTTCTTCGACAGAGTCGGTGGCGCGCGACGCGAGGAAGCTGGCTTGCTCCGCGGCCTCGACAAACATGTCCAGCGGGTACGACATCGTACACGACGCTTTGAAAATCTCATGGAAGCGCCGCGTCAAGACAAATCCGCGAATGTGGAACGGCTTGGCGACAACGATCCATCCTTTGAGCCAGAAGTACCGCCACACGAGCGCGATCTCCTCCCGCGTCCACGTCCCGACCAAGTGTTCGGCGGCCATTTGGTTGTACGCGGCGTCGGTCGTGAAGAGAATCATGAACACCCGCGTCACGAGGGCGCCGAGCCGCGGAGTCGACTCGATCAGGCGCTCCTCATCAAACTTTGTGTCGCCGAAAAACGAGCGTTTCAGCGTCAGCAACGCGAGTTTATTGGGCAACTTGGCAAGTAACTCATCGATGCGGCGGCGAACGCGACTCACCGGGCGATGCGGCGCCGCAGATCGCGTGATTACGACCGTGCTGACTTGGGTCCGGTGCACTTGTGGCCCACGGACGGCCACGGGCTCGTTTGGGACTTGCATTTCGACAGGGACAGGCACCTTCCACGTAGCTTGGAGTTGCTGCAAGTACAACTTCATGATCTCTGCGTCTTCTTCGGGGGTAAAGTTGACGTCCAAGCGGACGCCGCGCGGGACGAACTTGTACTTTTTGTACTTGCGCCGCATCGGGCCGCCATGGACCCCGTCTGGTCGATTCTCATTCTTCTTGGAGCGGCGCTGTACCAGCACTTTGTTTGAGCCTGGAATGCGCGGCATCGGGGCCGTCTTGTCCCGGCGGCTGTATCGGACGCCGTGGGTGTTGGGCGTCCAGTTCTTGGCCGCGACCATGTTGATGTGTTCCGTCGAGATGAGCGGCGGCAATTTCATCACTTGCCCTGGCGCGGGGTTGGTCGTCAGCTGCTCCGTCGCACAGCACTCGAGCGCTTCCCAGTACATGTCGACGTCGTCGGTCGATCGAAACGAGTGGACGAGGGGCACGGCATGACCAAACGTGTACGGAAACTTGGTCGCGTTTACACGAACACTCGTCGCGGTATTCCACCCGTGGCTGTCGTTGGTTGTGCTGAAGTAGATGCGCGTGTCGCGGTGCCATATGAAGAACCCGCCAATGACGCGGTCGTACAACGTGTACTGCACCAACCGATGGAGGTCCAGGTCGCCATTTGCGTCGGTTCCTTGCAGAATCGACATAAGCGTGTCGTGGCCGAGGCGATGCGGCTTGATCACTTTGAGGTCAATGAGGGCGCGGAGGAGTTTGGTCAGGCGGCGGCTCTGGTGGCGCGTCGTTTTCTCATGCAGCGTCGGAGGCAAGTCGGCGAGTTTCACGCCGGATTTGACGGCAGCTTGGAGTTGACTAAACTCGTCGGGAAGGAGGAGCTGGCCAATGCCGAGGATGCGAATGTACAACGTCACAGACATGCTTTGGAATATCGGGTCGAGGAGAAAGAGGCGATCGGGGGCGTGGGCCGCCGCCACGTCCGCGAGGAGGGGGTGGTCCACGGCCGACTGCAAGTACTCAAACACGTACGTATGGAAGAGGCGGCACCGATAGAGGAATCCGTGGCACTTGCCGAGAAGGTGGCTTTGGTTCTCGCGGTCGCGTTCGACTTGGCTTTTTGCGGTCAGGACGTCCTTCAACTTGTACGCGATGGAAGTGGACGACGGCGGGTTGTTGGGTTGAATCATAACGTTTGGGTTCACGAACGCTTTGCTGTTGAGCGTTTGGATGCGCGAGTCGCGCGCGTAAGCGTCCAGGAACGTTTTCAAGTCGGCGTCCGTGGCGTCAGCCGCCAGGACGAGGCGGCTGCTCTTGGTGCCGGACGCGGTCAAGCTTGACTTGATCGGCATGTCGTAGTGCCGCAACGTCATCTCATTTGGCGACCCTTCCACGATGCGGACGATGGACCGAACGTCGACGCGGTGGCCACTGTTGAACGAGCAAAAGCCGCGTCCATCCTTGGCGTAGTTTTCCATTTCGATGATGGACGACCGGAGCGAATACAACGACACGATTTTTTCCTTTTTCAGCCGGTCCAGAATGTGCAAACGACGGAGCGCCGTCGTGTCGGTGACGGATGGAACGGTGGGCGAAGCAGGAGCCATGCTGTGGCGCAACGTGTGGGTGTGCAGCCTTTTCTTCTTGGCCACAGTGGCGGTGGACGTTGGCGGAGACAAGCTCCGTTTCCGCGAGACGTGGTTAGCTGGTTTGTCCGTCGAGGTAGGCGGCAGGATGGCAGGCACGTGGTGCACTCGATGCTTAGTCGTTGGCGGAGGCGTTGTCGCAATTAGGCGGTAGACCGAGTTGCGACCAATGACAGTTTTCTCCATTCGGACGGGGTAGCTCGTCGCGAGAAGCGTGAGGAGACGGTACGGCCATTTACCATACATGCCGAATTTGTCTTTCAAGTCCGGCGACGTGATCCCGAGCGGCCCGGCATGGAGGACCGCATCGTACACTTGTTGGACGAGTCCCATTTCGTGAAAGATCATGGACGGCGGTGTGTCGAGGCGGTCGGCGGCGGCCCATCCTGTCGCTTCGCCCGCGGCCATGGCAGCGACGAACTTGTCACGGAGCCGTACGCACCAGAAGCGTTGCTTGGTGTCGGCGCGGTTGGCCGTGAAGATCTCCATGGGAAACGACGACCCGACTTTCTTCGATTCTACAATAATGTAGTTCTTCAGCGCTTCCAGCCGCCGCTTCTCGATGCTGATTGCTCGCATGCCGTCGTTGAACGTGCACTGGTGGTTTTCCTGCTGCCTGAGGTACCCAATGAGGTAGTTGACGGCGTGGTTTTTCCACTGCGGGCCGTCCTCCATCACCGATTGCGGCAGCGTCGATTCCAGATCGAACGACGCTTCAAACCGCGGCAACAGCACGATGTTGAACCGCTTACACTTGAAGTTTTCCGTGGTCTGGACCATCTTCTTTACGAGCAGTTTCTGGCTGATCAACCGGTCCATGTAGTGGTGGATCGACCGCAAGTCGGCGTCGAACTTCTTACTCTCGAGTTCACGTGGCAGCAAGTTTTGTCGAATGCACGACGTGATGTCCATGGTCGAGATTCCCTTGGCACGGCTCTTGCCCACGACTTCTAAGATGAGGAACGCCGTCGAACTGTCCGTCATCACCAACGGCGACGTCAAGTGCAATGCCCGGAAACGCAGAGCTTCGCATGCAACGACCCAGACATCACTCGCCACAGCGTCGTTGAACGAGATGTCTGTAGCGACGTTTGTGCCCGACGGAACAGACGGGACGTACAGTCGAATCGGTGCATCCTTGTCCGTTCCTGTCGATACCGACGCTCGGAGGAGCAAGCGCCAACACAACTCACGAAAGGGGGCATCGTTTGGTGTGCCTACGAGATACGCGTCAAAGAGAGCTGTGGCCGAGATCCCCATGCGGCCTTCCAGAGCGACATTCTCTACGAGCGCGGCGACTGCTCGATTGGCACTAAACATCGCAACAACACCAACAGTAATAACAACACAGAACATCCGGATAATTAAAATTTACCGGATACTAAAACTCTACCATCACGGACGCGATCGAACCCGAGCCTAATCGCCATTTCGGCCAAATTGTCCAACGTGCGAATTCAGCGGCCGATGGCCACGGCTGCGCGCCTCGTGGACGTGTTGCGTGGGCTGAAGCAGCATGTGTTCCATCGTATTCGAGCCGTGTGAAGGCGCTGTCGATCGATCGTTATCATGGCAAGACAACGCCGGCAGGAATACAGTCCATGCTACAGCCGTAGCATCCAGATCAACTGGCCAGGCGGCGCAAACACTGCTCAGCATTCGCACATTGTTGGCACGCAATGTGCCACGCCCTCTTCTCGCGCAAGAATTCAAGTTCACGATGCATGGATGGATATCTGGCGCGACGAGTATGATCCCATAGCGTCGCCGTGATGTGATTGACAAGTGCAAACTAACGGAACAAGGCCGCTTTACTTGAGGATTACGCGAGGCATCGTGGCTTCCAGGGGCGTAGGATACGCTCGAGAGCGATACACTAGCAACGACCGCGCGAAAAACATAACAACAAAGTTCACAGACACGATTGATGCCACAGGCTCACGTGGCAACGACTTGGCAAACTTGCCCATGATCCGAAATTCGACAGGACCGGTGTCTTGGGGCGTTTTCAAAACGGACGTGAGGAGCCCAATAAACGCGACGTCGTCCTGTGCGTTGAAGAGCGGGGTTTGGCAGCATGACGCAAATACGCGCAGCAGCTTTGTCTTCTCGGTCAGCTTTCCAATCGTGACGTGCTCTTTGCCGTGGGAAATGACAACGTCAGCAGGGAACACCTGGACAATGTCCGTGCCACCATGCTTGTCGACAGGTGAATTGCCGACATCTTTGCACACGACGTCGCCAAACTTCTGGCAGTCGTCGCAGTAGCAAACGATGTGGAGACCCGACGGAGCGAGGACGTGCCCCTGGACCTTGCCGCAGGAACAGCCAAAGGCCGCGTCTATCTGGACGGTTTGCGTTCGGGCTATTGTCCAGCCGATCCACGACACGACTCCCGCGATGGCAGCGACGGCAAGCTCAGCCTTCATGACGGCGCGAATCCAACACTGCCAACAAGCTTGGTCCAGGCGTGCGTGTTATAGGCGCCAAGGACCCGTTGGAACACAGGCGAAGCAATTGCGCCAAAACGGTCTTTCTGGAGTGTCGACTGGATTGCGCCGAATTTTATTGGACAAAAAGAAGTTCTGTAAGGGTTTTGATTGGTCAAGTCAGAGCTGTTTGAATTTGACACTCGACATTATTCTCGCGCTGGAGATTTTTGGGAGATTATCATGCACGTCAACAAGATCAAATTCGTTCCTCATTGCCGGAAAACAATTGAGCGTTTCCAATTTTCCATCGAAAAAGCCGAATGGATTTCACTTGACAGCGAACAATCCATCATCTGGATCACAAATTGCACGATTAGAGTACATTTGGTAATATCAATATTTTGAATTCGCTGGGCATTTTTCGTCACCACGCCGGAATTTCGACGTATCAATCATGATTGCCCTGGTCGGAAAAACATATTTTTACTAGAGAAATTTGCATAAATTACGTGCCTAGCGCTGCCATCACTTTCATGCAGCATCACGAGCTGCGCCATCGACGGCAATCCACTCGACCAAGCCTGGCTCGGACGCAACTTCATTGTGCGCGATGTACGACATGTACGAGCTCCATGACAAGCAAGCACCCACGACGGCCAGTTCTGCGCATCCGTGAGACTGACGACACCCACAAGGCATTGATGTCGTACCTTTGAGAAAGGGAATCGGCAAGTAAAACGAACCAAGTACAAGCATGGACAGTGACGTGCTAGTCTTGTACGCTGGCCATAGATCGTGCGCCAGCTTCGTCTGAATGCGAGCTGCCACGTCGGCGCTGTGGTCATCTACCCACCGAATCCAGGTGAGTGACCAAACCACAATCGAGACGCACACCTTTCACTGCAGTGTGGGCAGCAAGAAAGCACGCTAGCGACACCGGGCCAACTACGACAAGTTGCAGCCCAAGGCGTTTGCAGGTACCAACAAGTGTCTGAGACCGAACCAAGGACGACGCAAGGACTCCGAAGCGTTCGCGCAGGGGAATGTAGAGGCCGCCGATGGAAGCGGAGACGCCAAGGCGACGAGCGTCAAAAGGTTGTTTGTCGGCCAGCAATTGACGAGCAAAGTCCCCAGCACCCAGCGAGACCAGCCCGACGACAATTCTGCCACTAACTCCTCTTCGTGATTGTTGCGATGTAGACGTCGCGGTTGCCTGGAGCAGCGAACTCGACGACGACGCGCGCGTGTTGACCGAATGCGCATGCACGGCGAACCCAACGCGGCGGCGCGTCGGGCCTTGATGTCTCAACGCGGCACTGCGGACGGCGCAGAGCATGTTGAAGAATGGAGTATTTTCGGCAGCACCAGGTTGAAGAACACGGGGGGAGGGACGAGGAATGATGGTCGTGGTGACATCACGCCGTTGAATCGAACGACCTGGTCAACGGATGTGTTTGAAATACATTTGAAACTGCATGTGCATACAAATATCAAGCTCTGAAAACGTAAAAAACGAAACGAACGGTTTTAAACATAACCCCCCGCGTTCGTCATCGCCGGCTCGACGTGGCGTCGCGCCCCGGATGAGGAAAATGGCAATCGTCGTCCGTGGCATCGATCCACGGCAACAAAGGCGCGACCCGAGAGCGGCAGCCAGTTCTTTGCGTCCACGACGGTGTCACACTCGATGAGGACCGCCACCGTCATCTATGTTTCCCTGTGACGACCTTCGTCGCAAGAGATCACGTCGAGTATTCAGTGCAATCCGCGCGCCGACAGGGACTGCGCCTAGCTTGCCATCTCAGTGGTAATGGCTTCGCCATCGCGACGTAGCCCCTTCGGCGAATGTCGACGCCGTTGGAGCGTCTGTCCCGATAGCGCTGGAGATGCTGCAAGCGTCGATCGGCGGAGATGCAGTCAATGCTTTCCTGCTTTGCCAAACGGGATATCCGACGCGATGATTGCGCTCTATGTGGTCTATATTGGAGTTACGAGATGTGTCGTGATCTGCGCCGGGGCACCGGCGTCCATGACACTTCGAACGGCCTGTGTTTGTCTTCGGGGATCCCGTCCTTGTAGCGGAGGTACACGGTGGGCGTTGTGTTGCGGGCCAGGTCTTCCGCTTTCTCCTTCTCGCGCTTGGCGCGGAGGGTCTTCGTGAGTGGGTTCGTCACAAACGTCTTGGATGTCGTCGGTTCATACTTTTGTTTCTTGGCCACGAACGGCACTTCAAACTTGGGATCTGGCATCGCGCCCAAGTACGAATTCAAGCGGTCGACCACGACCGCCGCCTCGTCAAAGGTCGCAAACACAAGTTCGAGCGTCCCCTTCGTCACAAACAAGTCGGGCAAGGCGGCGCCCCCCAACGTGATCTTCAAGTCGTCGCCGAGCGCCGCCTGGATGTGGCGGTGGATGTGGTGAATTTGTGTGCAAAACGGAATCGAATGGATCGTCACGACAGTGCGCGTGTCGGGCGCGGTCGAAAACGTCGCGCGCAACTCTTCCGCCCCCTTCACCATCACGCCAAAGATCTTGAGCGCCGGGTGTAGCGCGCGCTTCTGGCCTTCTTCCGTCTCGAACTCGACAACGCACTGCATCGTCGAGTGCCGTTCACTCGCCACGACATGCAGCGTCTTGGGGCTTTTGTCCTCGGTCCGCGGCGCGCGGTCTGCCGCCACGTCGGCGCTCGAGTCGGTGTCAAACCCTTCCGACGCGTCGGCTTTCGTCTTGGCCTTGGCTAGCTTTCGTGCCCCTCGCTTGGATTTCTTGGGCGAGTCTTCGTCCCAGTTGGTGCCATCCGCATCGCCCACTGGTTCGACCACCGGTGACAGTTCGACGCGCGGCTCGTCAAACATCCACAGCCGCTTGATCGCTCCAATGTTCTGGAACGTCTGGCGCACCGTCTCGGGCGTAGTTTTCGGCGGCAGGTTGTGGTAAAACACTGTGCGGCGGACATTCCACGATTCGGGCAAGTCGATTCGAGTGTCCAAGTCGCCGCTGGCGTGATTGGCATCGTGTTCCAGCGGTTCGTAGCCGTCCACGACCCGCGTCAGCGTCGCCGACGCGCGGATGAGGCGGCCGCGGTTCAACACTCGCAGACGACACACGTTGAGCGCTTCCAGAGTCAAATCGTGGTGGACTTGGCACAGACTCTCGACCAGGATTGAACGAGATGCTTCGGGGATTTGCTTGGGCAGGCCGTCCGCGATGTCGCTGAGGAAGATATCGACGGACGTGTTGAAGTTCGATCGCCACGTGAGCTTGTGGCGAACGTAACTACTCGAGAGCATCGCGTCACACACGTTTTGCGACATCGATGACGTACCGTCCATAGAATGTGTGGAACTCGCGATCGTCGAGCACGGTGGCCAAGTTGAGCGCGGTCGTGAGCAGGGCGCGGCGCATCGCGTCCGATTTGGTCGCCATCGTCCGGTCAAGGGCTTCTTCGTCGAGGCCGCGAATGTAAATGTGGCTCGTCCGCATCCGCGCGTCGAGGAGGAGGCGGATCGCGGCGTCTGTGCGGTGGCGGTGGTGGACCAAGTCGATGGCAAAGCCGTCGGTCGCCTGCACGTCGGCGAGGTCCACCCGGCCAGACGAGAGGAAGTCAACGACTGGCGCGACCCACTGGCTGGCCAGGTCTTTTTGCGTTGTCTCGGTCATGGCAACGTCCGCCGACGGCGGCGGCGCCTTGACGATGTTTTGGAACTCGCACACGAGGAGCTGCAAAATGTCGCGGTTAACTTTAGCCATCTTGACGTAGGCCACCATGACACTGACGAGCTTCTCCATGTCGTGGTTGGTCAAGTGTCCGTCACGCCGCACGCTCGCCAGCACCGCCTTGGCTTCGTTCAAGTCCCGGTCGAACTCCGCGAGGTCGTCTTCTAGAGTCAATGCGACCCACTCGTTCTCATCCAGGCTGGTCATGCCCTCGTTGCGGTCCCGTGGCACGTGCAACAGCCCTGCATACGATACCATGTCGTCCCATCCTTTGGCTTGAAGCAGCCGCAGCATCTGGCGCTTCACGAACGGCAGGGTCGAGTTGGGAACGCGGGCAAGCGTCGTCGCACATGCGCGTTTGCAGTGCACCAAAATGACGGCGCACAGGTCGTCGTACAAGGGATGGTCGGGGTGCAGCAACGACGCCGTGTCCATTACGGCCTTTTCCGAATCCTTGCCACACAGAAACGCCCGCAGGTAGGCGTATTCGTCGGTGTGATCGGCGTGCATCATGATTTCCAAACTACCGAAGAACTTAGCCACCGAATACCGCGTCGGACGCGGGTTGGTCGTGTACGAGCTGAGCTTGCGTAGTACTTTGTTGGCTTCTCTCTCGGCCATGGTGCGGCGGATGCGGCATAGCACGCGTTCCGCCATGACCGTGGCCTCTTCGCGCAATTCCTCGCGGATTTCGTCGCCAGGCTCGTCCACGTATTCATTCTTGTAATGCGGAAACCCCATGCGCAGCGCATTGCTGTCAACGTCAAAGTTCATGTCCGAATGGTTGCTGTGGTACGGGTCGAGCATCTCTTCAAAGAGCGGCACGACAGTCGACTCGCCATCAACGCGGTCAGCGCCAAGCGATTGTGCCGCGTCTTGGAAGACGCCGGGCTTGCTCGCGTTTGGCATGCCGCGGAGAGGTGTCGTCGCCGTTGGTTCTTTGCGGTGCAACGACGTGACTCGCTGCACCTGCGGCAGCTTCTCTCGCTTGTGGTCCCATGTGGCAAACAATCTGTGATGGGCTGATTGCAATGGCCTCCAATGCTGCAGTCCCGGTCGCGCAAAGGAAGGAACTGCGCGCCGGCCAGCATGCAGCATGGTCCTTGGTAGCGCCAAAGGTACAAAATAGTACCCGCGAAATTAAAATCCCGACTTCAAATAATCATTCGATGTACATACAAATATCAAGTCTACCACTTCAACAAGTACAATAAAATTCCCCACATTATTGGCACCAGCGAAATTCAATGGTTGCCGCGACAAAGTGTAGGTTTAACACTATTTAAAGGGTCGACTGGATTTTGGGACCTCACTTGAAATAGTGTACGACAGCGACCGCCATTTTCAAGTGGACCGACATGCCGACGTTCATCACAGCGGATGGGTGCGAGTTGGTGTACGACGACACGGCGGCGCGTGAGCAGATGCCTGTGATACTCTTGCTCCACGGATGGAGCGGCAGCCGTCGGTACTTCTCCCGCAACGTGCCGCTGTTGCAGCCCCACTTTCGCGTGATATGCCTTGACCTGCGCTTCCACGGGGACTCACAAAGCACAAGTTACGGAATGCACATTGCCCGCCTGGCAGCGGACGTCCATGAATTCATCACAAAAGGGTTGGCGCTGTCCTCCCCCGTTTCCATTCTCGGAACGTCCATGGGCTGTGCCGTGATCTGGAGTTTTGCAGAACTGTTCGGGACGTCGCTGATTCGACAGGCCATATTCGTCGACCAAGTTCCACTGCAGAACCGCCGCGAAGACTGGGCATTGCACAGCTACGGGTGCTACGACGAAGCGAGTTTGATGTCGCTCGAAAAGGCACTGGCGACGAATGTGTCCGACGTCGCTCAGGGCAACTTGGCGAGCTGCCTGGTTCGTCCAAACGACGTCCCTCCCGCCGTGCTGGACCAACTCGCCGCGGATGTGCTTCGTTGTAGCCCGACTGCACTGGCGACACTGATGCGAGACCACACCCAGATCGACTGGCGATCACTTCTTCCCACCATCGCCATCCCATGCCTCAACCTCGTTGGCGGACCCATGAACAAGGTGTTTCCTATGGACGGCGCGTTAGAGGTCGGTCGCTTGCTTCCCAACTGTATCAACGTCGTGTTTGAATCGTGCGGCCATTGGTTATACGTGGAGCAACCGACCGAGTTCGCCGACATCGTCACCGCCTTTGTCCTGTCCGGGACCGTGCCGAGCGCCATTTCTCAACGCAACGGCGCTGTGTACGTTGCAGACTCAAGGAAGATCAAGTAGGTTCTGTGCAGTTGAACTGTAATGACATATCTGGAACGCCTGACGCGCTCTTGTATGGGCCAAGAAGCCGGTTGCCGTTGACGAGCGGCATCGCGCGCCGTGCCATGCGGGTGGTGTGCATCTCGGACACCCACGGCAAACATGACCTCGTGGACGTACCGCCTGGAGATATCCTCATCCACGCCGGAGACTTCTCCATCATTGGCACGCACAACCAGCTCCGGCGATTTGGCGTGTGGCTCTCGGCGCTGCCGCATGCACACAAGATCGTTGTCGCCGGCAACCACGAGTACTCGCTGGACGCGGCATGGTACGTCAAAGGAGGCGGACGCAAGCGGCACAAGGCATTCCAAGACCCGGCGATTTCCAAACAAATTCTGTCAAACGTGTGCATTTACCTCGAGAACGAAGCCGTGGACGTCCTTGGCGTGCGCATCTACGGATCTCCGAATTCCCCCGTCATTCCTGGGCACACCATGTACGAAGGTCGCCCATCGATGGCAACGTGGGTGACGACGGATGTGGATTAGGGCGTTCAACTTGATGCCTGGCACCGCATCGAGTTCGCATTGGAAAGCTGTTCCAGACAACGTTGACATCCTCATCACACACACCCCTCCGCATGGCATCCTTGACAAGAACTTTCGAGGTCAAACTTGTGGTGACGAAGCGCTGGCCGCCGAGGTGTTGACTCGCATTCGGCCGCAGCTTCACGTCTTTGGCCACATTCATGAAGGATACGGCACTGTCCTGATCAACGAGACGACTTACGTCAATGCTTCCTCGTGCAACCTCCGGCACCAGCCCGAGAACCCTCCCATCGTGTTCGACATCGGCTCGCCGGCGCAATGATGGGCACCGCTCTTGGACTTCCATGCGGGAAAAGATCGGATAAATAATAATAAAATGATGAAATATCTTTGCTTTTTGTATGCGGAACGGAATTCATCCCATCATTTCATTAATTTACTAGATGTTGAACCAAATCCCGTATACTTTAATCAAGTACGGCTTTTGCCATCACCATTTGGATACATATTCGATCGGCGATGGGCCAGGTTGTGAGCTGCTGCCTGGGCACAGAGGACACCGATCCATCGGCCGCGCTCAAGCGCAAGCGGCAGGACGACGATGCTGCTGATGTACCCTCGACCCCAAGTATGTCGGACTCGCTCTTCTACCAGTCACTCGGCGAGCACGAGCTGTACGGAAGCGAGAGCAGTCGAGTGTCCACCGACGGGGACTTGGTGGAAACCTTGCTGACGAAAAAACGGACAAACACTGTCGACTCTGGAACAGCAATGACTCCTCGCGCGCCGTACATGTCTCGGTTCATTGACGCGATCGTCGCGACCCCTCGTTTGCCGCCCTGCACGACCGTAGCACCCACGGCTCGTACTGTTCACAATACCGTACGCGCATCAGGGATCCCCACGCTTTCGTATGCCGACGACGCCGACGACGAAGGACCTGAGCATACAGCGACTGCATCCTCCGTTGGCACAGACGACACGTTCGAGGAACCACAGCCTGCACAGGACGACATCCCGTCCTCCGATGCCACGAGCAGTGTCGATGATGGCGATAACAGCGCAATGGCGGCGGATGCACTGACCATCACAACTCGCACCATGCACTCGTTCTCGACTTCGTCCAACCAATCCTTCGACTCGAATGACCAAGATGAAGCCCAGGCGTCGTCGATCGCATCACCGATTCCATACGCCGTGGCGGTCAAGCGGTTCTTTCCGATCGAGGATAAGTTTGAGTTCTCCATCTCTGTATTTCACGACGACCTCGGCGTCGGGCGGCAGTTTGACATCATTCGCGACCGCATCCAAGTGGCCAAGTTCCATGACGCGCTCGAGACCCTGGCCACGTCCCTCGGACTTGCTTCGCCTTCGTTGCCGTATACGAAGAAGCAGAATCGACAGCAAGGCCGCGCCCTCATGGACGAGTACGTCCAGGCTATCATGCAGACACCGGAACTTCGAAACGCGCGCATCGCGCTCAAGTACTTTCACGTCGTCAAAGCCACGACGCCGTCGGCAAAGTCCAAAAAGGCCACGTCAGCCATCAAATTGCCGCCGATGACCCGCCAATTCTCGGGCGGCAGGAAGGCGGCGCCTGAAACGCGAGCATGATGGGGGGCATGCCATGGAAAGTGGTCCAGCTGTGTATATATATCAAATTCGTGGTTCTCGTTACACGGTTGGCATCCCAGGTTCCGAGCACGTGGACGCCACGAACTTCGGGCAATTCTTCGCGCATGGTGCATCCATTACCTGAAAGTGCCGCCGCGGGATGCTGTCCGTGGCAGTCGATCACGTCGCGCGTCGGTGGAATAATTGGGGTCGTGATGGCCCGATTCGAGCCCTACTTTCTTCGAGGCACATGGAGGCCATCCACTCGAGCACATGCCGCATGGCATACCTTGGTCCGTGGACGCTCGAGGGCGACGGCCACCGCCGTCATGTCGGCGCTAGAATGATGTCGATTCTGCAACATGGATTGTGTCCGATAGAAATATTAATCGAGGCAACGAACGCAACAATTTTGCCTGGAATGGTTCAACTGGCGCGGGCAACGAACGGATCGGCGACGTGGAAGAAGGCGAGGGTGACGGCGGCATTCCGAACGTCTGGAATCGCAAGAAGATGGTTCAGGAAATCTTGCATGAACGAGCACGAGTTCGCGTCAATCGTGGACGTCTTGATGAGGCCAAGGCCAGCCTTTGGAGGAAACGGAGGCAGGAGCTTCTTCGTGATGTGGTGGCGGCGGAGCTTCTGCAGCTTGGCGTAAAACGCTTTGCAGGCGTGGCGCGTGTGACTGACCAGAAGAGGCGTGGGATGGCCATACACGGTCACGCAGAAATCGTAGACGCTGCCAGTGAGGTGGGGCGTGAAGTGCTGCACCGTCACGGCAAACCAGTTGATCCGAACGTCGTCCACTGTCAACGATGTCGTGGTGGGGTCTTTGTCGACGTCGAGCAAGTTCCGGTTGCACGTGGATCGTCCCCACAAAGGCCTCAGCAGAGAAGTGTCCGTGAGCATATCGGACGTACTTCGTGATCGCTGGGTCGCGAGCTTGGGCGGAGCCTCCGTCTCTGGTACTAGTTCTTCGTCCTCGACACATGGGTGGCATTCGATAGAGACATGGTCGTTGACCGAGATGATGTCACGGCAACCTTCGCATCCATCGGCAGAGTCCATGCGTTCAATATCCACGCGAATGGACGCAGGAAAAGGGCTGTATTCTTCAGAAGTTGCAGTGCAGGCATCGCTGCGTTGTACGACCAGTGCGGCGGCGGGGAGCAACGACTCACACAAGACTGTTTGCGACGCTCGTTCGTCGTAGAGGCATCCGACCTTCTCTCTGGGATGTTGCAGAGTTTCCTCCAAGTCCGGTGTCCCAAAGCAGCAGCTCACGACTTGCCCCATCCTGCCTCGCTCGGAAAATGGCACGAAAAGATCGCGAAATCGGCGCTCGTACGTCGTACAGTAAAAACCCCGTGCCATCGGGCGTTTTGCTTCAACGTTGAAGTCGCCATTGTTGCGTGGAATAAAATCAAATAGTTTAATTGAGACAAATTGTCCCGAATGTGGTGGAGATAAAAATAGACCACGTTTAAACATATTTTTCGGCATTTTTATTTCCTGGAATTCTCCATAGACATGCGATGTAATTAAATACGGACCGTCGAAATGGCTGCATGTTGTGTGCACACGGCCTCTGCGTTGCTAGCAAGAAGATGGGGCAGGTTGCGAGCTGGTGCCTCGGCGACGAAGAGCACGAGCATGCACACACCCTATTCAAGGAGGACAAGGCGTCCACAAGGACTGCAGCGCCCAACACTACAGCCCAGTCGGCGGGGTCAGATCAGAACGAGCAGAGCGAGATCTACCGGTCTCGGCCCAAACCCATCATGGCGTCGGGGCCAATGTATGCAGCAGGAACGTTCGAAAGCAAATACACACTCAAGGCTATCATCGGTGCGCTGAACATGACTTCGTCGAAGGATGCACATGACGGACCGTCCCGATGATGCTGTCGTAGGCAACGGCAGTACGTCCGTGTGCCACTTGTGCGAAGAGAACACGACGAAGAAGCAATTCGCATGCAAAGTTATCGACAAGCGAGCCATTCAAAGCAAGAGCGACGACCTACTCGAGCAGTTCCAGGTGCATGTCGTCTGTACAGGAGATGCGGCGATGTTGACATGCCTCGAGGTTGAGATTCAAGTGCTACAATCCCTCGACCACCCCAACATCATCCACATGGAAGACGTGTACCAGACAGACAGTCGCATCTGCATGGTGACGGAACTCATGGAGGGCGGCGAGCTTTTCGACTACGTTGTGCAAAAAGGGTACATTCGTCAGTTGACATGCACGTCATGCTAAAACGTGTGGCTAGCACGTTGTCCGAGGTCGAGGCGAGCTGCTTGGTGCGGAAGATCACGTCCGCACTTGCGTACATGCATGCATGCGGCGTCGTCCATCGCGACCTCAAGCCCGGTCCGCTTCTTCATTCTGCCTCGTGCACCTGACGTCCTCGATAGAAAACGTGCTGCTCACGTCGCCGTCCCCGAACGCCGAGATCAAGATCATCGACTTTGGGCTGGCCAAGCTTCTGCACAACAGCCAAACGCGGTCGTTCCTGGGGACGCGGGTACAGTCGAATCCAGACATGTTTCTCGCCACGTGGCGCTGCATCCATGGCACGTCACACGCGAAAATGCATGGCTAGGGCTACTTGGCACCAGAGATGCTTCGGCGCCAGTCGTACAGCAAATCGATCGACGTATGGGCTCTTGGTGTCATTGTGTACGTGCTCCTGTGTGGATGCCTTCCATTCATCGACGACGGAAGCAAGATCCACAGCGACAAAGCCGCGCGAGTACGACGCTTCATCTCTGTGCTTCTCACGCTGTGTGCCTGGCCAGGCCAAGTTTGGGCTGCGATTTCCGCGGTGGGCAAGTGGGCTGTCGGAAAGTGCCAAGGACCTGCTGCGCCACTTGCTAGGTACGTTGCAAGGGCGTGTTCATGCTTGGGCGCTGACGACGGGAGCAGAAGTCGACTCGGACAAGCGATACACGGCCGAACAGGCTTGCCTGCACCCGTGGGTGACAGGTCAGCGCACCCCAAACAAGTTTTTGGAATCGCCGAACTACCTCAAGTCGATCAAGCAGCGCCATCAAGCTGTCGTGGCGAATGCTGCCGCGAGCCAGACGACCGACAACTCAACTGTCCTTCGAGACCGGCGTCTGTCGCATTGACCACCGACGGCACATCGGCGGCATGTAGCCAAAACAAATGCAATCAAATGAGCGCACGCGCATCTTCATTCTTGCGACATTCCATGTGCTTGACAAGGACGTCGCTTGGTGCTGCTGCTGCTGCACCGACGGTAGACGCTGTGCGGATCGACCTTGGCTACAGCCTAGGCAGGCGCGATGGAAGAGCAGTCGGTTCAAAACGTAGCCACGTTTTGAAAACAAACACGTCCAGGGCTGGCCACACGTGGCACGACCTGCGGCCATGCGATGTGGACGCGGCGGCGATTGACAAGTGTTGGAGACAAGTTTCCATGGAGTAAAGGGACATCGCGCGAGCTACGTCCCAGGCCGCCGTCCCGTCGAATGCCGCGCCGGAGATCGATGACGCCGTCGACGCTCCGTGACAAAGTTGAGGCCGGAAAACTGCAGCGTTGCCATGGATGGCGCGCGGGGCTTGGCCACGGCCTTTGGCGGGACGGCTTTGCCCATCGCGTTGTTCTTGGGCGGAACGTGGCCGGGCCACGGCGACCTGTCCACCAAGAGAGCAACGTGGCTCGAGACGGTCGTCCAGAGCCGAGGCTTGATTAGCGCTGGCGCGGGATTCGATCGCGCTTCCTGCCAGCTCTTGACGAACGTGATGTACCGCAGCTCTTGGGGCTGGAGGACATATGCGAGATGGTCGTTCATGACGGGGTATCTGTGGAGAATGGAAACGAGGGCGTGGAGTGCTTGCGCGGTCGTCGGCGTGAAGAGCTGCGGGAGGAGCTTCGAGGACAAGCCCTCGGTCAAGATCGTCGACACTTGGGTCATAAGATGGAGGCGGACGGCGCGGCGGAGTTTGATATCTCGCCAAATCGACGGCGGGACGAGATCGTGGGTGGCGCCGCCCTTGGCGAGTGGGTTCAAGTTTCGGATGAACGAGTCGCCGCTCAGGCTCTTGGTGCGGAGGTTCTTGACCACGGTGTGCACGCTGTTGTGGCGGGATTGGCGACGGTGGTCGAAGCTGCGGGATCGGCCGTGGCGGGCGTCAAAGATCAGAGACAGCCCCCGCATGAGCGAGTGCTGCGATTTGAGCTTGGTCAGTTGGGACGAAGGTCCAGCGTTAGCGTGCGTCTTGGACATCTTTCGGGAAGGTTTCGCGTCGAGGCTGCGCCGGCGACCTGGCTGTTGCCTCGATGGGTCGTTCTGGATCAAGAGCACTTTGGTCCGGCGCGGGTGGACTTTATGGGCGGGAAGATTGGGGCGATCGGGACGTTGGTGGTTGGGATGCCGCGAAGGTGACGGCAACGCATTGGTCGATGGCGCGCGGACCTTGGGGGGAATGGAATGCAATGCTTTGGACGAGTTGGCACGCCTGGTCAAAGCACGGCGGACTACTGCGCCGGTGACGACGGGCTGCACGGTCAACCCCCGCGGCGTAGCCTCTGGTGGCGCGGCGTCCGAGTGGCCGCTCATTCCTGACGATTCGTTTTCTTGCTGCTTGTTGGACTTGCGCTTCGCCATGGAGCGCCACGTAACCTGCGCTTTCTGCATGAGCGCGAGCACTGATTCCAACGCGAGGGTCATGGAGTATTCGCCCTGCCAACGCCGCCACGCCGTCGTCAAGTTGGCGACAAACGTTGGCGTGTACATGAGGATCGGGTCCCGGGCAGGTGCGGTCCGGGTGATTTGGGCCGCGGCGCGCGCGAGAACAAAGGCGACGACGCGGTCCCGGAGCAGTTCCAGCGGCAGCAACGCATTTGGAGCCACGAGCAACTGCGAAATCGCCGTGAGCTTGGTTGAATCGCACAGGAGCGGCAGCACGACCGCCATGTCGAACTGCATCATCGTGGCGCAGAGGGACGTGGCGGCTTGAGCGGCGACCTCCTGGTTGTAGTTGCTGCAGAGTGTGCACACAACACTCAGCCACGTGCCGAGAGTGAGCTGGACGTTCTGGGCCAGGTACATTTCCTGGAGCAGCTTGGCCACGATGTTGCACGCTTTGGGGAACGGCAGCGCCAGCATCGACGTGGCGCGCTGGAGGACAATTTCGAGGCATTGCTTGAGCAACTGGGTGTTCCGGAGGGCATTGAAGCTGTCGTTGCCGACGACGACCGGGGCGACGGTCGTAATGCCGGACCGCGTGTTTGTTTCGGCTTTGCGGTCGACGAGCTCCTGGAGCCGGGTACCGGCGCCTGCGTTGCTGTGACGTGACTTCATCAAGAGCGCACTTGGCTGGTGTCGATGGACGGCCCACAAGTTGAACGGGGCCAACTCGGTCGTGGCAGCGCCAGGCTTTTCCACCATCGCTTCACTCAGGGTGTAGTGCTGGCAGCAGAGATGCCATACCGCTTGGCACGCATAGGCGACGAGAAGACCGTCCTCGGCGACCCCCGGCATGGCGAGCGATACTTGGAGGTGCTGGAGCACCCGCATGATTTCGTCGGCTTTCCACCGCGAGTGATCCTCGAGCGTGATGCTGACGATCGCGACCGTCCGAACGCGCAGGTTCGGGTCCGTCAGCGCGTCCGTTAGGGACTGGTTCTGGATGTGGTACTGCCGGGCGCGGCCCGAGTTAAGCCACCAGAGGAAGCCGACGCCGAATGGGTACAGCGCCACGAATATGATCGGGACGGTGTTGGGGCCATGCGTCGTGAGAATCACAGCTAGCGATGTCCAGCACGACGTGGCGAACGAAACAGCGCGGAGGTTGTTGGGAAAGAGCCCCGAGCCAAGGCACTAGGCAGAGAGCATGTTCGTGTAAAGAGATGACGACAATGCCGCCGGTCGCACCGGCTGGAGGCGGTAGTTGTAGCGGAGGAGGAAGGCAAAGATCGCAAAGTAGATGGACATGGACGTGATGCTGATCGTCGCGACCGAATGCGTCGACTCGAGCAGCTTGGTGATGGTCATGTACAGCAAGCACGTCCCTACCGACCCCGCGCGCATGAGCATCGCGTGTGGCCTCGATATCAGCAAATACCCGTGCGGACAACCGTCATCAGGAACGAAAACGACATGGGGTACCGGAACCGCACGCCAAACACGTCCTCGCTCAAGTGTATTCGGTATGCCAACGCGCCGACGTAGATGGCGGCAAATACAAACGAAGCGAGCGCCGCGACCAGCCAGACGCGGTCGTGGCATGCACACGTCGACGTGCCTCCCACCAGCATCATGCGATCCACCGGCTCGGCGCACGTCAGAACATCGACAATCGCGTACAGAAACACGACAAACAGCGCATCAAACACGAGCGGGTACAGAAGCTTGACACGGACGGGCGTCAGCCGTTTGTGAAGCGTCGTGATGACGATGACGCAGAGCAAGATCGCGGCCGCGATGAATTTTATGGCCTACGTACGACCAGAACGGACGGTCACCCGTACGCGCTACCACCGAGTGGGCGCACCTGGATGATCGCGACCGACACAAACATGTACGTGCCGTAGCGCTGGTAGTACAGGAGCTCCATGGGGAGGTAGCTAAAGCCAGGAAGTTCTGCCCACATGGCGATCAGCATGAATATTCGCCGTGGGTCAGGAATCTTGCGGCCGAGGAGCTGGCGCTTCTGCCTGGCCACGACGATGCCGAGGGCTACACAACGCCATCGGACGTTAGGACGATGGTCGGTCCGTGGGGCATCAACAAGCGAGCGTACCCTGTGCTGGAATGTCATGGAGGTCGTCAATGCCTTGATGGAACTCGGCCCACACGTTGGTGTACCATGCAAACGCGACGGACAACACAATGAAAACGAGCCACGGAATCGCGGGCAGGGCGTAGTCGAGGTACGCAATGCCGCAACTGGCGTCGTGCCAAAAGGCCCGCCGGCACGAGTGCGTCGTGTTGGTTCCCGCGGCGTCGCACACGGCGATCGCGTTGGACATCGGCGCCGGACGAGCTGTTCCTGCAACCGCAATAACCAGCCTATTTACGGAGCGATTTCATGCATGTTGAAACCGAGGCGGACATGGAAAAACGACCGATCACACGGCATCCATGACGTGTTTGGAATGCCGCGACGTGCCCTGCCTGGATCGACTCGTCTCGGCGCACGGACGTCTCGGCACAGGAATGTGGGCGACGTTTGGTGTCGTTGCCGTCGTGTTTTTCGTGAGGGAGCGCGCGTGGCGGTGTCGGCCGTCGACGGTGGATGCGACTCACTCGATGGAGGTACTAGGTGCGTCCACCGGCCTTCAAATGCCGGTCGGCAACATTTGAACATGTTGGTAGCTACGTGGATGGCGCTGCACCAACATCGCCGCCGCCGTCATGTTTACCACGATGTCGAGCGCATGCTCGTGCAACTTGCGCATTCCTTGGACTGGATCGTGTTCTCTGCAGCTCCTCTCCAATGCCTCGCCATGAAAGCGTCTCAAGGGCTGGTGCTCTGGCGCACGTTCCCCTCGCCTGTCCAGGTGAGCCATAGCCGTCCAGCCGCCATCTGCCTTCATGACATGCCGTAGAGCGGCCTTGTATGTGTTACTGGTGCAGGCTTCGTTCTGCTGCTCTCGACCGTCGGGTGCACGACGCACGTGCGCAACGTCAAGCGCCATGTGCTCTTGCCGCTGTGCTGCGAAGCTCTGTTTGCTGTCCAGGTCGCAGGGTTCGCATTTGCTGCGATGTGTCCAACCGAAGTATGTGCGGTTGCGTCCTCGCTGGCCATGCGGACGCCGCACACGTGCACTGCCTTGGAGGACGGGGCAATCGCCATCGGGGGCAACCTTGGCATGGCCCTACTCTTCTATCGGACTCTTTATTACAAGTGGCATCGTCACGACGATCCGCGAGCCGTTGGCTTTTGCCTTGTGCCGTTCACGGCAGCGCTCAATGGGGTTGTTCGAACCGGCGCCGTCCTTCTCCACGGTCTCGTGGCCTGGGAGACGCTCGAGGCATTCGAGGACGATTGTCGGGTCGCGACTGCTTCAGCAGCTACGCTGTATGCCCTGGTCATGATAGGGCTATGGAGGCATCACTACCAGTTCCAGCCCGTACGCGCTCACGCCTACCGTTCGCTGAACTCATCTTCACGTTTCGCATGCCCTAGTTCCGCGGCGATGGCTACGCCGCCAACAATCTCTACGCTGCGATGTTTGCGTCCGCCGCGTACTTGTCCGTGGTTGTCGCTGTGGCGCATGGCCCGGGCTTCGACGTATTCCAGACGAATTCTACGGTCGCCTGGATAGCTGCTGCTGCGCTGTACCCGGGCATCGTCGTTGCGGCCTATCTTTTCAATGCCCACGTAGCTAGGGATGTTGCGGTGCCTGTACGGTCCGTGTTGGGCGCGCTGGATGCCGCAAGCCTTCGCGTCAAGACGGTGGCAGCTCTGTGCTTGGCGCAGGACAACTACGACCTCTCCGCGTGGACAAACGAGTCCCTTGTAGCCATCTTGGACAAGCTAGAATACGTCGAGACAGTGCCCGTGGAAGCCTTTGACGGGCGCGCCATGGCGTATGCGTTGACAGCGACGTGGACGGTCGCTCGGTACGCTTGGCACTTGACGCCCCTTGCAGTGGACGAGGACTCGCCAGATGAAACCTTCGTGCCGCGGCACATGTGGGTGAAGCTGGCGCCGTCGACGTGCTTTGATATCTTGCATGAGAACGTCCCTGCGACAGCGAGTGCGCAAGCTCGCCTGCGGATCGTGCACGCCAGCGCCGTCGCGATGATCGAGGTGCCGCATGCGACAGCCCAGTTCATGGTCGCACGGACGCTGCAGGAAATGTTTGCTTCGGGCATTGGCCGCCTGGATCTGGCAACTTTGGTCCGCGTCGTGTGTGTCTTGTGTGGCGCGGTCGAGTCGCCGCCGGCCCTGGCGTCGTCGGCAGGCCTGACGCTGCAACGACTTTGTGCAGTGTACTCCGCTGCCGACGACATCGTCCCCGTTGTCGTGGCCGATGAAGCAAACGTGGAGCACCTGTTGCGATTCCTACAACGGCCAAGGGGCGCCCCCCTTCTTCGGGGTCATGTCCAGTCGGCCGAGGTCGTGACGCATCTCCTACGCCTCGCAGTTCGTAAACGACGTCACTTCCTTGGCCCTCACGTGAGCACGTGGTGGTAGGCCAGGCACATCCAAGATGCCGCTCTGAATCCGTCCGACTCCATGCCAGAGTCCTCTTCGACCTTGTTCCAAGCAGCATGGTCGAACTGGCACGACCAGTACTTTGTCAGTACAGCGCTCGAAGAAACGAGTCTGGCCCTTCATCGCGCTGGCGAGAATTTTACGGCGCTCCATGCCGCACGCCTTGCCATGACCAAAACCAACAGAGTCACGCCGCCTGCACCCGCTCCTCGCCCGCCAAAGTGGGCGAGCTTGAGACGGCCAGCGGCAGTCCGACCAACCGACGGCTCGAAATATCTCTCGAGAGAGATGTGGCAAGTCGTACTGATGCGCCAGTCCGTGCGCGACGAGTTTGCCGGCGCTGTCCAAGGCCTCCTCCACGAAGGCTTTGCAGGCCACGTGGGTCCTGGCGACTTGAACGGTCGCGGTCAACGGCTCTTGCAAAAGGTTCTTGGTATGATAAACACGTCGCCGACGCTCGTCCTCGGCCACCTCCATGACTCGTTCCCAAGTGTCGAGGTCGCGTACGTCCGGCATCTTCAACTTCTCGCGCATTTGCAAGGCCATGACGACGAAGCGACGCCAATTTGATCGACATCCCGGCAGGCAGCGCAGTCCTCGAAATATTCGAACACGACTGACAGAACGCACAAAGTCATGGCACTTGGCTCGAGATGCTCACATGCTGGGACGTCGCAACCCGGCAACGTCGACGTCTCGTCTGCCGCAGCGCAGGTTCAACGTCGGTCGAGGTGGAGCAACTGTGCCGCGAACGTAAACAAGCGTCATGGCGTCCGCACTGCCGAGCCGACATCCGCCTCGACGGCCAAGGCTCGACTGCGTGCCAAGACAATCCTCGTCGACAACGGGACCAGTGTAGCATGGCACCCAACCGGCGGCACCAGTCCACCGAGTCCCGCAATTGCCTCGGTCAGTCGGTCGGGTGCACGGACCGCTCTTCTCCGCTGCTACGACCCAGCCCTGCACTTGGAATTGCCGGCATGCCCGGTCGTCCTCCTGCCTACTGTCATGTGAGCTGCACATTTTGCGTCGAACGGAGGGCCGGTTGGACTCGTTCGACGGCGTCGGAACGGTCTACAATCGAGAATTCCAAGCGAAGTGGCTCCAATTGTCCTCATGGCGAGGGGCGGCGCGCTCAAAGCCCGGTTGCCCGACGATGGATGCCACGGCAGGTGCACCCTGCGGTCGACACCAGCCATATCCCACTTCCACCAGATGCTCTTGGCTGGCATGCAGCGGCATCCCAACTCGAGTGAGACAACGCGTGTGCTGCATAGTGACCGAGCGCGAGCCGCCGAGTGATCTGCAGGGCAAGTGCGGACGAGGGGTCGACCGCCGAGGATGCGGCAAGGCCGTTGGATGCCAACGCGTTGACTTCCACCGCCACGTTCGTGCCAGGTGTCCCCAATGCACCTCACACCGTACCAATGTCCTGTTAAAACGTGCGTCGTCGCGGCGCCTAGGAACCGCGACGGCAAGATCTCCATTCAGAGAAACGGGGACGACCTGGGCGGCCTTTGGGCTTGCCAGGCGAGGCAAAGCCCATGTACGTACAATGGATCGGACAAGCCATCGGATCCAAGCGACCAGGCGGAGGCGATCCCCAACGCCGACATCGATCGCCCTGCGTTGCCGTTCGCAACCCACATTTGTTGGCCGATGTCTCGACGGCAGACAGCCGCGTCGCACTGCTCCACTCCCACAAATCCATCGCAATCGTGACGGGATTGGGGATGGATTGCTTGAGCAAGTCCAGAAACAAGTCGAGTGGCGTGCGCTTTCAATCGTTCCCAACCGAAGGAAACGCATGACGTGGCCGAACGTCACCGGATCCACGTCCAAGACGTGCGGGATGGTCGAGTCGTGCCGCCGATGCGAGCAGCTCGTGAATACAACTACCTCTCATAATACAGCAACGTGCTCTTGGCGGTCTTGAACAGCGTCCCCAGCTCGCTTGCATGCGGGCCAGCGCATCCTTCTCGCCCGATACGTCGAGGTTGTTTTGGAATGCTGTGGCGAATTCGCTCATCCGGTGATACCCAGAATGAGTATCGCACCCCATGTCTCGCTCAGCGCGACTGATCTGGCAACGCCTCGAAGACACAACCCTCTGGAAGTCACAAACGCATCTTCTGCAGCAGGTCCCCTTCGCAAACTCTTCGGCGCGCAGCCATCGCGTGGAGCGATGGATAGGGAGTACATACACGAGCACAGGGATTATACAGCCGAATGTTGCCGAATAAATTAAATTCTCTTGCATGAATATGGCAATTTCGAGTATTTTTATGATTTTTGAACAATTGACGGGACAAGGCGGAATACGACGGGCGGGAAGCGACGATCGGCATGCGTTCGCGGCGAGTCGACCTGTGCATCGTGCGCGGCTATGAGCGCGTCTTGGGCACGAGCGTCATGGAGACGGTGGTTCCCTGCGTTCGGGGCACGAGGTCCTGCGTGCGGTCGCAGAAGAGCAGACACGCAATCGTAAGTTGCTGGAGGAGGAGTCGCGAGTCGGACAACGCGTCGCCGGTTGCTTCTGCGTCGGTCTCCAAATGCACCACGTCGCCTTGCACCAGGGCCGCTCGCATTTGACCAAGCACGTGCTGCTTGGATGCTGGATCATGTGTGATCGCCGCATACGATAGATTTCGAAACCAGATGCCGCCATTGTTGTCCGTGTCGTTCGACGGCAAGGCGCGGATGGCGTCTGGCGGTGCACTCGCATTCTCCGTTGGGTCGGCGTCCACCCGCGCCGCATCTTCATGACGTTCTCTTCCCCCTCGATGCATCCCTTCGCGTCGTCGACGTTCCCATGATTGGTACGTGGGCATTCGCTTCACATGGGCGACTCGCTTGGCTTCGTCCGACTTGGATCGCGACTTGTACGATGCTTGGATCGCAGCCACCGACGTAAGAGGCGCATCCGCCACCTTGGGCGCAATCTCGACCGCATCGTTGTTCAAGTATGCAGGGATGGCCTCGGCGCTGCCGGTGCGCATGGTGTCTGGACAGCGCGGCTGGCACGTAGCTTGGAGCTGCTTGGCCGCCTTGGCATTCCATGCTTTCAGCCGTGACTTCTGCTCGTCTCGGGTCCATGACGCGAATTCCATCCCTGTCAAGTGGTGCTCCCTATTTTTGGACCCAACTGCGGGCGATTCCGATCGCCACCTATTCGTGGAGACGATGGCGGAAGCTGCCGAGTCGGCCACCCACCAACTACGGCGGCTAGTCCAAGAGGCACGCAAAGACAAGGGCGGGGTCGCTGCCACCCACAACCATGTAGGCACAGTCATCGTCCTCCCGTCCGTGGGATTTCACCGTGGTGGGATAGCTGCAAGGACGTCGACGGAGCGGTGGCCAGGGAAAGCGGCTGCCACTGCATGCGAAAACCATTCGCAAGCGCATGCAGGAGCCGTCGTCGCTTCAACGTCAGATCAACGACTTCATCGAGTCCGCGGGGGAAGGTCTCGAAGATCGCGTGGACGAGTACATTCGCGCGGGGCTACCGATCGATCGAACCCACACGGTTGGGAACGAATGGATGCGATGCAATCGAGCTGACGACTCGACAGGTACTTGGCTACACGGCTCTGCACGCCGCCGCCAACCAGCCCGACATCCGAGTGATGTCGCGGCTGCTTCGCGCGGGGGCCAACGCCAACGTGCCAGCGACGGTATCGCATCGAACCTGCTGGGTGTAACCAAGACGAGGGCGTTCGATTAGAATCAAGGGAGTGCGCTGCATGCTGCCGTCTTGTACAACAATCCAGCGGGGGTGGAAAAGCTGCTCCAGCACCAGGCCAACCGCCAAGCGCGAGCCCAGGTACTGGCCTTCCTGTCGCCACCGACGTGTTTCAACGACGCGTGCAGGGCGATATCGCTCCGTTGGATGTCGCGGAGGAGTACGGTCGTCGCGCGATTCACGTCCTTCTCAAAGGTTAGCCTTATCTCGTCGTTCATGAGCGGCGCCGTTCAGCACGTTCCTGCGCAACAGGTCCTCCTGCCCCGCCTCCACTACCCACATGCACCCTCGTGGAACCGCACAGCTTGCACCTTTCGTGGGATGCCAAGTCGACAGCGCGACCGTCGCCCAGCCGCCCGCTTCCGCCGCCACCCACCCAATTCAAAGTCCTCTGGCGGATGTGGTGCGCGACGGAGTTTAGCCACGCTATCAGCGGCGCCTCGACAACAGTGCTCGACGGCTTGCTCCCGGCGACGCTGTACGAAATCGCCATCCAGGCAGCGAACGACGCCGGATGGAGCGACAAGAGCGCGGCGCTCGTCGTCAAAACCGCCGGTGGGGTTCCAGCGCGCCCCGGTCGGACGTGATGATATATCGAGGACGTAGACTCAGTCCCCGCCGCCCCGACCGCGCCCGTCATCACGGCCGTCTCGGACACATCGATCCAAGTTGAAACCTGCATGTGGCTGACTCTCACATCGCCGTAGATGGCCCTGACCTTGCCCGACGCGAACGGCCGTCCGCTCGAGTCGGTGTGCGTCGTGGGTCAAAAGACAGGCTCGATCGACGTCGCTGACACGAGCGACCTTGTGCGATACAGGACGACGTCGGTCGGTACCTCATGCGCGTGTGTGTGTGCTGCAGGTGGCGCTGATGCATGTGAATCCGAACGAGGCGACGTGGGTGGTTGTGTGGGAGGGGGACCCGATGGCGTTGCCGCAGTCCGACGCGAACGTTCGCGAACTCGTCGCGGCGACGCTCGCCCCTGGCACCGTGTATTTCTTCCGTTTCAAAGCGCGCAATGCGTTGGGTAGTCCGAGTGGCCACCGCGGCATTTTCACGGGCCATCGATAGGGTGGTCGGACCTGGGCGATATCAGCGACGGCATCACGACCAACGGTCCGTCGATGGTCGTCGCGCGTGGCTGTATCGTTGATGCATGTGCCACCACGTACAGACGCTCCGAAATTGGTCCGCAAGACTGGCACGTCCGTCGGCCTCGTCTGGCCCAAGCCGTACTCGACGCACGACATTGACGTGTACGAGCTCCAGTGCAAAGAGGCCGCGACGTCCGCCTGGTCGACCGTGTCGTCGCGCGTTCGAGGCCACAGCTTTACTGTGACGCAATTGCAGCCAGCCACGGGCTACAACTTCCGCGTCCGGCCGCATTATGCCAGCGGCGAATCGAGCTGGGAGGACGTGGCCAACTGCGCCGTGAGCCCTATCTACCACACGAACGGTATAGCCATTCCATGCACTCGACGGATGCTGACGCAGTTGGCCACGACAGGAGCGACGCCCGACGCCCCCACCGACATCGTGCTGGTCAGCAGATCCCAGACAATGCTCGAGCTCAAGTGGAAGATGCCGCGGTGCAATGGCCACGTCGTCCTGCACTATGACCTGCACAAGCAGCGCATGACTGAAGTCAAGTCGACCGAGTCCGACCTGTCGAATGCGACGCCGGACCCGACAGCACCATGGGAGTCGGTGTCGAACGCGATCGAAGTTGATTGCGCCAGCTACTGCGTCCACGGTCTCCAGCACGGCACCCCGTATCGCTTTCGTCTGCGTGCGCGCAATGCATTGGGCTGGAGTGACGTCGGCGATCCATCCCCAGCGTTCTTCACGCACGGTAGTTCAGGTGCATGTCGTATTTCGTCGTTGACACAGTGTCTCCTCCCAGCATTCCTCCCGCCAACTCCACCCGTCGCGACCGCCAAGACCCACTACTCGCTCGACGTTGCCTGGGACGACCAAGTCACGGACGTCAACAGCAACGTGGACCAGAAGGAGTTCTTTGAGCTGCACGTGTGTCGGCTGTGGACGTACTGCCCCCACGACGCGATCCCGGACACTTGCTTCGACAAGTGGGAACTTGTCCAGGATCGATGCCCGACCAGGGCCTGCGTCGTCTCGAACCTGTCCGCCTTGAGTTGGTATGCCTTCCGCGTTCGTTCGTGGATACGGCATCGCGGATGGACCGAGTTCAGCGACCCGAGCGCCCCCATCCAGACCCTGCGGCGCATGTGAGCGGCAATTGTGTTGGCGCTAACGTATTTGATTGGTTGAATTATTTGAATATAAACCAATCAAAGGTGGAATTCTCTTGGCACGGCCATTTTCACGCTTTGGAACAGACGAAGGAAGATGCACGAGATCTCGGTCGTGGTGGCAGTCGCACGCAAGACGTGGGGCATCGGCATCGACAACACGCTGCCGTGGAAGCTGCCCAGCGACATGAAGCGTTTTCGTGAGATCACGACGTCCACGACCGATGCGACCAAGCAGAACGCGGTCATCATGGGTCGCAACACGTGGGAGTCGATCCCAGCCAAGTTCCGACCGCTCCCGGGTCGACTCAACGTCGTTCTTACACGAAACTCAACACTAGCGGCCCAGCTCGACGCGTCGTCGCCGCAAGTTCTTGCAGCATCCAGCCTCGATGACGCGCTGGCCAAGCTGTCCCCGACAAAGATTGAGCACGTGTTTGCGATTGGCGGCGCGAACGTGTACAGCGACGCGCTACGCCATCGCGCGTGTCGGAAAGCGTACGTAACCATGGTCGACGGGGACTTTGACTGCGACGCGTTCTTCCCATCGACGTTGAAGCAGCTCGGGTTCGTCGAGACCGAAGCGTTGGGGACGCAGACCGAGAACGGCATTGATTTTCATTTTGCCACATTCGAGCGCAAGCACGAAGAGCTGCAGTACCTCAACTTGATTCAGCGCATCTTGGACGAAGGTATCCAGAAGGGGGACCGCACCGGCACGGGGACACTGTCTCTGTTTGGCGCGCAGGTGTGTCGACCGCCTGAATATTCGTCGCGTGGGTCACGTATTGTCGACGTGATGACAGATGCGATTCAGCCTCCGCGACGGCGCGTTTCCGCTCCTCACGACGAAGCGAGTGTTCTGGAAAGGGGTCGCGGAAGAGCTGCTCTGGTTTATCAGCGGCAATACGAATGCAAAGACGTTGCAAGACAAAGGCATCAAGATCTGGGACGGCAACGGGTCCCGCGAGTACCTCGATAGGTAGGGTGCCGTCGAGTCGCTATTCCGTCTCACATGCGAGAGGATGATCAGTATTGGGCTCGTCCACCGCGAGGAAGGCGATTTGGGCCCGGTCTATGGCTTTCAGTGGCGACATTTTGGCGCGACGTACGTCGATATGCACACGGATTACACGGGACAAGGCCATGACCAGCTCGCGGACGTCATTTACAAGATCAAGCACACGCCGAACGATCGCCGCATCATCTTGTCGGCGTGGAATCCCGCTGACTTGGGCATCATGGCGCTGCCGCCGTGCCACATGCTCTGCCAGTTTTACGTCGCCGACGGCGAGCTGTCGTGCCAGGTGCCAACCATCCATGTTGCGACTGTATCTGACTACTCGCGCAGATGTACCAGCGCAGCGCGGACATGGGACTCGGCGTCCCATTCAACATTGCGAGCTACGCGCTCCTGACGCGCATGCTAGCCCAAGTGAGCGGCCTCCAAGCCGGCGACTTTATCCATGTCATTGGCGATGCCCATGTGTACTCGAACCACGTCGCGCCTCTCCTCGAGCAGCTGAAGCGATCGCCGCGTCCGTTTCCCAGGCTCCATTTGAACCCTGCCAAGACATCCATCGACGAATTCACGTTTGACGACTTTACGCTCGACGGATACGACCCCCACAAGACTATCAAGATGGATATGTCCGTCTAAGTTGTTAATCGATGCGGTTGCAAAGCCGCTTGCGCACCACACGCATGCTACCATGGGCTTCCTCGGGGTGCTGCGAGCGCATGACACGCCTGCGTTGCGATGGACGAATGCAGGCGACTTGTCACGCCTTCGCGCGCCAACGCCACCCAAGACTGCATGCGGGAACACCTCTTCCGACATCTCGGCATGCTTCGACGGCACACGGAAGCATGCCAGGACGACGCGCGCCGAGCGATCTCGAGCCCAGACGTCATGCATGGCACCCTACAAGTGGGATGGCGTACTTCACGCGGTCGTGCATGGGGTGGTTCGTTGGTACGCGAACGTCGGCTGGCACGTCGAACGTGAAAAATCGCCACAGCTTGATGTCGACAACGTAATACACCCCGTGCCGCTGAACGCACAGCAGCCCCGTGATGACGGCGGACGCCCGATCCAGGTACACGCAGTTCATGTACGTCCATTTGTCCAAGCCAAAATGGTACTTGGCGCCGGTCGAGAGCAGCAGCGACGCGCGACGCCGCGTGTCCTGCAAGTGCTGGTGCTTGGCGCGCATGTAGCCGAAACAGACCGCCATCGAGCCCAGCGCCATCGCCACCAGCTCCAAGAACCGAGTCGACTTGCCGATGTACACCGTGCCGGCATTGCATACGAGCTCGAAATCGACGTGGAGCATGGTGCATTTGCGATTCACCGACACGACGTGCGTGACGGGGCTCACAAAGGAGAGCACGGCGACGGCGGCGGACGCCAGCCGCCCGCTGGGACTGGCATACACTGTCGTGTATTGCTGCGTGAAGATGGTCATGACGTCGCCGACCATGATGACAAACCACGAAACTTCCCCGGACGCCAAGAGGACCTTGTACCATTCCATCTTGGTCGACTCGAATGCACTCATGAGGCCGAGCGGCCCATACTGCCGCAGCTCGATCGTGGCAGTGCTGAGGAGGGCAAGCGCCACGACGCTTCGCACAAACAGGAGCGGCCTCCCCGTCCACACAATACCGGCGACCCGATTCATCACGAGGACGTTGCGCGCTTCGACGCGACCCATGCTTGCCACGATGGCCATCGACGCGAGGACCGCCACAAACGAGAGGATGGCTGTAATGTAGACGCACACGGCGCGCGAGTACAGCGCGACGTTCTGTGGGATGTCGAGCGGATTCGGCATCGTGTCGGCAGCGGCACTGGACGAACGAAGCAGCACGAGCGATCCTTTGTCTCCCTCGAACGACACGACTTCCCGCTTCCCCAACGCCCACTCGATGGCAAACTCCCATGCAAACAAGTCAAATGCAGGCGAGCTGGCGTCGAAGATAGGACGCAACAGGATGTTCCCGGCCGTGTCAAACTGCACCAACGACGCATTCGTGAGACCGACATCCCGGCGGGCCATTGCCGCGAGGTCGACGAGTTCCGCGGTCGCACTTGGAGGCAAGAACACCTCGACGAGATGCGCCGTCCCAGCGAGAAAGTCGGCGCAGTCGGTGGCCGTCGTTGTCGGCACACAACTGCACGTTGCCGTCACGTTGAAGTGTTGTTGGGGCGGTGGCCCGTTGGCGGCCACCGTGGCCACAATGCTCGACATGCGCGTCGGCACGACCACCTCCGCGCTGGACGCACACCCCCCATCCGTCCAAAACGTCAGCATTTGCGTCGCCGACGTGACCATGAATTGATCACACAGGATGTTGCCTGCCAAGCGCGGGATGCCGATCCACTCGGGCGGGCATGGGGCCATGTTCCAAGGCAGTTGGAGGTGCTCGAATGCTTGCTGCGCGCCGTCGTGCTGCGCGAGGACGGCAGCCATCGCGCTTGCCGCGACTTTGTAATAGTGGCGCATCGACGTCGGGCACGCAACGTGGCGCGCGTCGATCGTACCAAACGGCCCGAGCACCACTTGCAGCGTCGAGAAGGTCGGACCGAATGGCTGGTCGAGGATGCTCGTGCTGGTCATGACCGCTTGGATCGACGTGTTTTGGTATGCAAACGTTGGCGAGTGCGGGACGAGCGAGCAGTTGGGCACCGGCAGCCCGAGCTCGTCGACGACATGGATTTCGTACGCCAGTGGCCAGTACAGCTTGAACGACGTCTGCGTCGTGGGGTGCATCGCCGACTTGGTTCGCTTCAGCGTCATGGGAAACCGCGCGCCCATCGCGTTTTCGATCGTAAACGTTTCCACGAGCCCAATCTGTTTGAAGTTTTGAAATTGCGTCGTATAGTGGTCGATGCCATGCGCCCGCCACACGCTGGCTTCTGTCGACACGGACGTCGTTGTCGGTGCCGCGAGCGACGCGAGCCACGACTTTCCCCGCTGCGACGACTCGATCGCGTTTCCAAACACGACGGGGAACCGGTAGCACGCGTTGATGTTGGCAAAGTCGATGTTGCGCAGCGCCGACTCCAAGTACACGGCGCCGTTCGACACGTACCGATCGGCGCACCGACGCCGACGGCCCGGCGTGTACGCGAGCTCCAAGTCCCGGCCAAAGTCGGCCCAGCAATGGATCGTCATGATTTCGTGGACCACGCACTTGTCCATGAGGCGTAACCCAACGATGGCCATCTCGATCGACGTCGCGCCTTCGTACTGGACCATGCGAGGGTACAAAGCACTCGACGAGATGAGCGTGCTGGACGTGTTGTATGGCATCGCGTCGCTGTGATTTGGGTGGTCGAGGGTAGCCGTCATGTTGTACGAGTTCAGCACGAGCTGCGTGTTGAACCAGTTACCCAAATATGCATGGGTGCCGGTCGAGTTGAAGCGCGCCCACCAAAAGTCGTTGGCCATGTTGATGCGCGTCGACGCAATGTAAAGGGCGCTGCCGGCCAGCGACGTCGCCATGAACCCGAGGCTGGCGACGGCTTTGACACGATCGAAGACGGTCATGCCGGGGGCGCTGACGACGGCCGCGGTCAAGTGGGGCGCCACGTACTTGGGCGCTTCCAGCCGAACCGTTTTCTTTCGTACGAGGTTCGCCACCGTCGATTCTGGCGTGATCGTCCATGACTTGAGGTCAAAGATATACACAACGTCCTTCCATGCGACCGTGACGAGCCCACACATGACGCACGTGACGTGGTCAAAGGTCTGCGACTCGCCGTCGTGCGCCGCCAGGTCCAAGTACGATTCGGCTGCCGCCGACAAGTACAGCGCCGCCGGGGATGGCCATCTCTGATGACGCCAGCCTCCGGCGACGACGATTGCATAGGCGACAAGCGTGCTGCCGACGTGAAGCGCGAGAAACATCCCCAATCGAGACGGTTCGCCAAAATGGACAGCCCCACTGTGGCACGAGATCTGCATGGAGATCGATACCGTTGTGCAATGGCGATCGATGATCGCGTGGGCTTGAATAGGGTCGAGCTTGTCTAGTGCGAGCCCGGCCACGAACGCCGCAAGCGTGCTGAGCGGGGCAGCATAGTACGAGTGGTGGGCCATGACGGGAGTCACGATGTCGTGCACGACATACAGCACCCACAACACTTCGCTGTGGATCGAGATCGTTTCGAGCGGCGACCACGGCTTTAAGCGAAAGCTTGTGACGCCGCCATGGACACCGAGTTGAATCTGCGGCAGGCCGACGAGGGCGAGAGCCGTGAGCCCGCGGAAACAAAGCAGGATGCGACCGATCCACACGGACCCGACGACACGATGGAATCGAAACAAGTTGTGGCCCACGACTCGGAATTCCGTGACCCAGCTATACGCCAGCATCAACCCCGCAACGAGGGCCAGGACGGCCGTGATGTAGAACATAATCGAGTAGATGTACGGGCCCGTCTGTCCGGGAATCTCGAGGGGATTTGGGGTGTACGATATGCGTGGAGAGGCCGCCGAGATGACTTGGACGGCACCGACGTCGCCTGCAAACTGGACAACTTCGCGATCGAGACTTACTCAGTTGAACAGCATGACCCAACCGTAAAACGACCAGGCGGGGTCGGTGGCGTCGAGTAATGGGAGCTGCAGGAGTACGGGGACACGGGCCGTCATGTTATGCGCAAACTGGATGAGCCGGACGTCGTGAACGTCCTTGGCGGCTGCCACAAGCACGTCGGACGTCGCGTCGACATGCAGGCGGCGGACGAACGCGTGGATTTGGAGCATGTTGTGCTGGCACAGTTGCAAATCGTTCCACGGAGCGTCGTAGTGGCAGGTCGCCGCGCCCGAAAGCCCTGACGCATGGACACCAAACAACGCGGCATCGATGGACAGCGGCACCTGCATGGGTACTTCTTCCAAGCACGAATCCGAAAAGTGGAGCATGTCCTGGGGATATGGCGTCGCGCGGTGCTCGACACACAACGGACTGCCGCCAAAAAACTCGAACGCTGGGTCGTGCCAAACTGGAGGGTGAGGCGCGGCCGTCGGCATCTCGCTCAGTCGCGCGGCCAAGCGGTCGTACTCGTCCTTGAGGGTTGAGTTGTTCTGCAAGTCGATGATGAGCCCCTTTCGAAACATATACACCGCTTGCTTCAGCGTAGATGGGGGCGGCACGATCGTGGCGTCGATGGACCCGTACGGGCCCACCGTCCTTGTCCATAAATACTTGGGCAGGGAGTCAGGAACACGGGAAAAGTCATCCCACGCCGCGTCCGGCACTTGATTCGGCATGCCACGGACAAGTGATCGGTTCAGCGCCTTAGCCAGCGCCATGTCGCTGCGAAAATCGACAGTTAGCATCATGGTTCGCCATGCCGCGCCTTGGTTTGCAAACGGGATCTTTTTCACCACGACATCCTGCTTCATCCCGAACGAGTTGTGGATCGAAATGCGCTCGTCTACACCTGGCTGCCACTGGTTGTGCCACTGCAGCTGCCACCTTGTGGCGTGCTTGGCCCGCCAGTACGCGGCTTCCGTCGGAATATCTGTGAACGCGTCGCGGACGCTCGCCAGCCACTCGTGCCCCATCGGCAACGCCTGCTGACTGGCGGCAAGGCTCAACGTGAACTCCCCGTCGCTGCCCCCGAACATCTTGTCCCATTCGCCCCACACGGCATTGCGCAATACAGACTCCAAGTAGACGGCCGCGTTGTCCATGAAGGCCGCCGCACAGCGGCGCTGCCTTGCCGCCGTGTGCGCTATCGCGAACCGGCGGTCAAAGTCGACCCAGCAGTACTGAGCGTTCAGGTGCGGGTTGATCTCGTTCGCGTGGAGGCCGTTGATGACGTCCTCCAAGTTGTTTGTGTCCTCGAGAACGCGCAGTCGGGCGTACGCGGGCGGCAGCGCCTGGACGGTCGAGTCGTTGGCGTAACTTCGGGTACGAGCAAAGCCTGGCGCGAGCAGTAGCACGTCTAGAGGCAGCACGCTCAAGGCCAGGTGAAAATTGACCATGTCGCCCAGGAATGCTTGATACCCCGACGCATTAAAGTCGGGCCACCAAAAATCGTTGGTCAAGCTGGGCGACAGCACGTCGAGGTACACCGCGCTGGCCGCGATCGACACAATCACGTACACAAAGCCCAGCATCGATTCGACACCTTGGGTCCATGTCATGTCGTCGTTCAGCACGACGGCGCTGTGGTGCTTAGCCACGACTGTTTCGCCCACAGCAATGTGCCTTTGGTCGAGGGCGTCCGCATGGTCGCTACCGTCGTCGTCGGCAGGCGCGACATGAATGGCGCACTTGGGCATGGCCGCGCTCGTGCCTGGTGAAATGAAACCGCGGAGCCCGTCCAATATATCCCGAAACGGCGACCGTTCAGGACCACCGCGCGAAAAATATCGGGAGGGGCCTCCGTGGACAAAGGTTGCATGCGCCACACCACGACAGTCGCAAAGTCGTCCATCGGGGATTGATCGAAACACGAAGACCGAGAGGGGCTCCATGGCGGAGCTGCTGGAGGATGCTCTACAACTTGGCCAAAGCTATCTCAAACTCGCTAGGCGAGCGTCGGGCGTTTGAGGTGTGCCGCCACGTTCCAGTGAGTTGGCGTCGTCGAAGAGCACCCGTGTGTCGCGACTGAGCGCCTCACGGATGTCATTTCCTCGACCCTGGCCAGCCGACGAACCAGCTCGTGGCGTTGTCGCAGCCCCAGTCTGTCCGTGTGTGGGCATGCAAGTTGTCGTGAAGGATTGTGTGTACCTCGATCGGGCGTGCGAGATGGTCGATGCGCAGCGATCGATGAACGCAAAAAGGCGTGGAGATACGTCGACGCAAGCGTCCCCATGACTGGCGGAAAGCGTACGTGTCGGCGTGTGCAAGGGCATTCCAGCCTAAACACGCCGACTTCATGCACTCGTTTCCCAACTCACCCCCCCCCAATTCATGATATAAACGCTGTCGTTATGAAAGCAGCATGGAGCAAGTGTCCTTGGGATAGTACCAACCATCTCGATCGTATGCGACTGCAGTCCTCGTCAATTTTGTCACGCCACTGCGTGAACAGCGACCGATTGAAGTCGCAACGTCGAGTGCGTCACAGCTTGTAGGAGGTGGTAGAGAAGCTTGTGGAGGACGCGCTTTGGCTGCGATGACTCGTACAACGTATTGCACACTCTTGGAGGTCGGCGTCGACGAGCCAAGCAGCAGCTACGCAGTGCCGCGGTCGCCGCACGTTCAAGTGTCCGAGAACTACTTTATGAACGACGGAGTGCGACGAAATCCCATGACGATGTCACCGCCTAGTCACCGAAATACGGCTCGACAGAGCAGGGTTGGTGCGCAAGCTGAGCCAGCGAGGTGGTCGACGACGTAGAGGTGATCAAGGCCAGCGAGCGAGCAATCGCAGGAACGTTGTTTTGTCACACATACGCAATGGCTAGCTAGCAGCAAAGGGTCATACTTGCCATTCAGTACCGCCAATCTCCGTAGAAAGCGACCAGCGACGGCTCACGACCGCTTCAAGCTGTCCACGAATCGACTGGAGGCGTGGACGCTGTTGGCGGCTTTGGCGCCGCTGAGGAACGCCGGGACGAGGCCTGTTGCATACACAACGGCGTAGACAAAGAAGAGGCTGTCGTGCACTTGATGTTCTTGGTCGAGCATCGCCAGCGCCCACACGTGGTTGTAGTAATGCACAACAACGCCGACGGAGGCGGCTAGATGAGCCAGTTGAGCATACTTGATCCGCGAGTCCGCCGATGCGACAAAGACAACCACGCCGCTCCACCAGAGCTGCGCGGCGAACATGCCGAGCGTGGTGAACTGGAGCAGCGCGTACGACGGTGGGTTGTGCTTTTGCAAGTTGCGGAGGACGTCGTCGTGGTACAGGAGCGAGGACGCCCCCACGACGGCAAAGTAGCTCGCCGCGACAAAGTTGAGTACAAGAACAAAGTGGTGGGCTTGCAGCGCGCGCTGGACGCTCTGAAGGAAGCGGTAGACGAGATAGAGCGGCGGCGCCATCATAAACACGACCAGTCCCAAGCTCACCGAATTGGCGTGCACGTCACCTACATACGGCGCGACGCCGCTACGGAGGTGTTCATGACCCTGCAGGATCGCATTCTTGCCGCGGTCGATCTTTTCCAGAACGTTTGGCGGCAGGGCCATGACCGCTTTCGCCTTTTCGAGGGCCGCCCGCAGCTCCGGCCGCATCTCACCCAGCTCTTTGCCACGCGCCGACAAATACTCGGACAGCATCGGATGCGCCAAGTGCTCGAGCGCGTCGTTGTACACGCCTTGAAGGGCCACGTACTTTTCGTTCTGAAACAGGTGATCGATTCAAGCTGGTGATGTTCGGGTGGATGTCCGCACCAGGAGATCAAATGCGACGACCTTTTCCATGAGTGCTGTGGCCGCGATGCCCTCGGCGCGCTTGAGCTCGAGCGATCGCTCGATCGCCTTGGACAGCTCGTCCTTGAGGCCGTCGACTGCCAGTTTATGCGCCTCCAGCTCTTTGGCAATCGCGAGCGACGTTTCTTTCTGCGTCGCCAACTCGAGCTCGGCGGCTTCGCGGGCATGGACTTCCGCCGCCATGGCGTCAATGTGGCTGCGCTTGTACGCAGTCAGCTCCGACTGGGCGCGAATGTTCTCCTTGGCCTCCTGCTCCATGGACTTTTGTGCCGCTTTGGCCAGGTCCGTGGCCGCCGTCACTGTATGCATTGCATGAGTTGTCCGATGGTGTCTTTGAAGGATGAGGATAAAGTGCCGAGGGATGACGTACGTTGCTTAGCCGCGACGGCGTTCTCGAGAGTGAGCTCTTCCACGCGAGCCTGGCACTCCTTGATGGCTGTGTCGTCGATGACTGGAGCCGGCGCAAGAGTCGTAGCGACTGCGACCACCAGTGGCTCACCTTCACCTCCCGCCTCGGCCGATGCATCACTCACAGAGGCTTGAATGTTGCCCAAAGCATCTACGTTTACATCCTGGAGTGGAGCGCTGTCTACTTGGGCAACAGCTCCATGAAGGAGGAGGCTGCCGACGAAGAAGGCGCGGCGCAACGGCAGCATGGACACCATCACAACGGGGCGTTTGTTGTGTGCGCTTGTTCGATCTCGAGTCGAATAACAAAAACGTTGCGAAGGTTTAAAGAGAAGCTATAATTAGCCAAGCAGCACCGAACATTATAACTTACAGGAAGCACTTGCGCGACACATACGTCGATGAGGTGGTGGGCGCCAGCCGTCAGAGCCACCCTCGGGTATGGACGCGCCACCTGGCGCGGCGATCTGAACCCGCGAAGGTCAGGACGCACGGCTATCCTGCACAGCTTTTCTCTGAATGGTTGCCACTGCCAGCCACAGTATTCTGGTATCAATGGAGATGTCCGAAACTCTTCGTCCCTTAGTTGGAAGTGCTCCAAACAAGAGATAGCGAGAGGCCGGTGGCTTAACGAAGCAAGGGGCTTTAATCCTCGCTTCCTTTCCTTTTGCTTCATTATCAAGACGAATGCGCACAGCACAAGGCACACCGTCTAAATTGATGAAGCGACGTGTCTCCCACGCGTTCCTACTGCTACATAAGGCACTCTATCATGCAGCTACGTGCGCAGCGCTCGCCGGCACGTGGCAGTGCTCGGCAAAATCGAAAATGGCCGTGGTCGAAATCGGTGGCTCAAACTGGTTTTCAGACTAATTATGGAAACTGCGTCACATTATATTTATACCTCGTTTGAATTTAGTGTGAGTCGTCGACATTTGCTTGGACCGACGCGGGTGGGTTGAAGATGGTGTCGCCGACATGCAATGCCGTGACGAAAGAGCGACGTAGGCACCTCCAGCATGGACGCGATCATCCCTGCAGCGAGTGAAGACCCTCAGCCGCCGTCCACGCAATCGCTGCCACCGGCATCTCCCTCGCCACCAGCCAAGGACGAGAAGCGATGGCTCGAACCCGACGAACACCACGGCGAACACATTGCAATCGTGAGCTACCCGCGCAGCGGCAACTCGCTCATGCGTGGCCTGCTTGAAACCATCACGGGCGTGTACACAGGTTGCGACACACGGCCGGACCGGTCGTTGAGTCTGGAATTGCTCAAAGGTGGCATGAAAGGCGAGGTAAGGGCTCATCGATGATGGATCGTCATGTTCGAGGTCATCAAGGCTGCTAAGGGCGTCGTCGACGATCGCGTGTGGTTTGTCAAGTCGCATTACCCGGAACGATCCGGCTACGTGCCGGTGGCCGTCCAGAAAGCCATCCTCGTTGTGCGCAACCCATGGGACGCGATCAACTCGTACTTCAACATGACGCTGACCAACTCACACAACAAAAGCGTCCACGACTCGATGTACTGTCGGTTCGCCACACGATGGGATGCAATGATTCAGAACGAGATTCAAATCTGGATGAAGTTTCACGCATACTGGATTGCCAAAGTCGACATTCCGATTCAAATTGTGCGCTACGAAGACCTGCTCCTGCATCGGTACGTGCTGGCCGAGCCCCTCGCGGCGCATTGGCCGGCACCGCTAGTGTTGTGTGCGCCACACTGATCACCACGTCGTCGTCGTGCAGAAAGGAGACAATGCATCGAGTACTCAAGTTTGTCCTGAACAAAGACCCCAAGTCGTCACTTGACGTAAGTGCTGGGCCGATGGACACGGCCGCAGCCGACGAGATCACGTGAAAGAGAGGTTACGAGCGAGTTGAGTAGGGCACGGAATGGATGGACCGCATTGAGTCCATCCTGACAGCAGACGACTCGTCCACGGGGCCATACAAGCCTCGCAGTGGCAAGATCGCGAGCTCGTTCCGGCACTACTCCCCTGAACAGTTCCAGCACGTCTTGGACGTAGCACGTGTCCACCTGCGCAACTTTGGCTATGACACTGAGACGCAAGGGTTTCCACATGACGTTCGACTGCCCAGTCGGCAACTACGGCCTGCCAAAGCAGGGGGTAAGTCGGTCTGGGTACTCTCTGGTGACAAGTTGGAGCTGCGCCACCGCAGCGACACGTTCGGGCGACTCTCGACGTGGTTTCGAAAAGACCTGACGGATCCCATCCTTGCCAGCGACGGCACCGAGCTCAACATGCATGAAGTCGAAGCTGCAAGGGAGCGAGCGCGGGCAGCGGCTGCAAACGACGGCGACCTCGACCTCGCCCACCACGATCGAATGGCGTCGAGTTGATCTATCGTCGAGTCGACAAGCAAAGTTGTCGTTAGCCGAGAAAAGCGATCTTTCGGAGTTCAGCCAATGGCATCTCTGGCATTTCATTGGACGTCGTTTGATTGGCTAAAATTCAGGACATGTTAACATTCCACCAATAATGTCGCAAGAAATTTTGGGAATCGTCCGAGTCGTCCCAAGGAGGGTTTCCTGCCGGGATGGAGACGGTAGTGGAAGCAAAGCCACTGCTGAGTGCGAGCGGTGCCGACGCGATGCCTATCAGCCACCACCGCATGCTGGAAATGGATGATTCGCAGCACGCGTACACGCCGTTCCAGTCGCTCTCGCAGAAGGACTCGTCTCCTGCTTCGTCGTCGATGCTCAACCAGCTGGGCACGTTCAACGTAGGCAACGAGGAACGTCGGCATCGAGTACCTACGGCGCAACTCTTGTAGGGTGTGTACGTCCCGTGCCTCTTGAACATCATCGGGGTGATCTTGTTTCTACGCCTCGGATGGGCGATCGGGCAAGCCGGAGTCGTCGGCATGCTCACCATTTTCTTCTTCGCCGAGCTCCAAGCCGTGTTGACTGTGCTGTCTGCCAGTGCGATCGCGAGCAACGGAGCGATGCGTGGCGGGGGATCTTACTACCTCATCAGGTGGGTGGACCTCACCTTTCCCCGTGTGCACACCATATCTTTTGACAATCCTTGCTTCAGTCGGTCGTTAGGACCCGAGTTTGGAGGAGCGATCGGGCTGCAATTTTACCTGCTGTACGCTTCTGGTGTGGCCATGTACTTGGTTGGGTTTGCCGAAGAAGTCGAACAAACGTGGTTTCCGCACAGCCCATGGGGGAAAAAATGGGTGGTCGTCGCGGTTGCGTCCACAACGCTCGCTACGATTGTGTGCATCGCACTGATCGGAGCGCATGCGTTTTCAAAAGTGAACCAGTACCTATTTGTCGTTCAATTCGCATGCATTGCGTACGGCGCGGTACGGCGAACGTTTGACCGACTGCCGCATCTCCTTTGCCTCCTCCCAACCTCTTGCATAGATTGCAATCTGCTTGGCGTCTCCGCATGAGCTTGCCGCCGGCGGCCACGTGACAGGTCCACGTGCCACGACGCTGGCTGCCAACATGCATGCCAACTACACGGACGAGCTCCACGTGTGCGGTCCGACAGCGTGCGATTTGTCCCAAGTTTACGGTAAGCCTGCCCGAGACGGACCAGCACGATGATGGCTCATGCCATGGCAGCGATCGTGTTTCCTTTGGCTACAGGGTTCATGGAAGGGCTCAACTTGAGCGGGGATTTGAAGCAACCAGGTCGGAGCGAGAGACACACACACACACGCACGACGAGTGACGATTGAAAGCGTAGGCAAGAGCATTCCCGTGGGCAGCTTGGCGGCGGTCGTGACTGCGTGCTTGATCTATATCTCGCTCATCTTTCTCTTTGGGGCGTCATTTGACGGGGTCGCGCTGCGCACCAACTTTTCGTTCTTCCAGCAAGTCGGGCCGACGCCGTACGTGATTATCACGGGCATTCTCGTGTCGTGCTACACGTCTGGCCTTGGGGCGCTCTTCGGAGCATCGCGGATCTTGCAAGCCATCGCGAGGGACAACTTGTTTTATGGTACAGGCGTCGTTGACGTCGGCGGGTGCCGATCACGCTGACCGAGCTGCGTAGGGCTGGGTTTTCTTGGCCAAGGATCGGCCCAAGGCGACGAGCCGCAGTACGCCGTGGGCTTTACGGCGGTGCTGTCGCTCGTGTTTATCTTTATCGGCGATTTGGACGTGCTGGCGCCGATCTGCACGTCGTTTTTCTGCGTGGCGTACGCGGCCGTCAACTTCACGTCGCTGGTTCTCCAGGTCACGGGCGTGCCCAACTTTCGCCCAACGTTTGGCTATAGCTGCTGGCCGCTGTCGCTCCTCGGCGTCGCAGTCAACTTGTGTGTGATGGTGTATTTGAATGCGATGTATGCCGCGGTCACGTTCCTCGTCGTGACGGCGCTGTTTGTGTATCTGTCGCTCGCCGGCCCCGAGACGAGTTGGGGCAATGTTAGCCAGGCGCTCATGTACCACCAAGTGCGGAAGTACTTGCTCCGGCTCGACACGCGAAAAGGGCACGTCAAGTTTTGGCGGCCGGCGATTCTGTTCGTCCCGCAGAATTGCCACGGTCCGAGCGTCGCGCTCTGCAATCGACTGAAGAAGGGCGGGCTGTACATTGTTGGCGACATTGTGCTTGGGGAGTTTGGCACGGCGACGGCGGCCGAAGCCACGCGTCGGTTCCAGCGATGGCTGGACGTGATTGACAGCGCCAACCTCAAGGCGATTCCGCAGGTACGCATTGTGGCACGAACGCAGCGCGGCAATCGGCGACTAGGTCCTGGTAGCTCCGTCGATTCGCCATGGCTACCAAGCGTTGATGCAGTGCAGCGGCCTCGGCGGGATGGACGTCAACACGGTCGCGTTCGACTGGATGCTGGTCTGCCATCGCACGACAACATTGTACCTGAGTCGGTCGGTTTAGGCAGGGACGGCGACGTCCGCCGAGTTTGTGGGTATCCTCAACGATGCGCTGCTGCTGAAGAAGAATCTGGTGGTATTTCGCCACTGCGACAAGGTCGACCCCGGCCTCCTGCACGATTCCAAGGCGCTGTGGGTCCCTTCTGCCCGTCGTTGGCGCCTCGACGGTGTGGTCAAGACCGTCGATGTCTGGATCACTGAGCGCAGCCCGTGGACGGCCGACGGCGGCGCCACATCCCATGTGACGCTGATGCTGCAGCTCGCCCACGTCATGCAGTCCAACGTGCAGTGGAAAGGGCTGCCGATTCGGCTCTTGCGTGCATGTGAAGGGGCCAACGACGCAGACACGCCCGAGCATTTGATTCACATTGCGTCCGAGCTCCGCATTGCGCTGCATGCGACCCATGCCATGGTCGTGCCGCTCGCACACCGTCGACGATCCGGGCCGCTGGACCTGCTGGTTGACATGAATCGGGTGGTCCACGATGTCTCGCGCGACGCTGGCCTGGTCGTGTTGACGCTGCCGGACCCGACAACGTTTTCGTCGCAGCCAGACGAGTTTGCCGCGCGCCTGGACGCCCTCACGAAGGGCCTGCCCCCGATCATGATGGTGTGGAGCGCCGACGTCGAAAGCGTCATCACGACATGCATTTAACAAAGTAATCCACAGTGCATGGGACTTTGATTTTGACAAACTGTGCTGTTTGAGCCCACAGCGTTTTGATTGAAGGGAATGGCCTTGGCGGAGGTTTGCACTTGTCGTCAACAGGAAGCGCACCAGTGTCTGTCGTGCGGGGAAGCGGTCAGGGGCCGAGCGCCACGGTCGTCGACACGTAAGAGAGCGTCGCGCCCTGCTTGTGGCCTCGTCAAGACTTGCAGTTGTGGGCTAGGCACGTTGGGGTAATGCATGTAATACACTATGCCTCAACTGACTCGGGGTTGACCATTCCGGTCGAAGTTGGGGGCAAAGAAGTCGTCGCCGTTGTGGGGCGGAAGATTTGAGAAGATGGCGTTTACGAGCATGTCCATATAGCGGGAGATCCAGGGGGGCAAGAGGGCGCGCATCAACTCGCCCCTTGGCGATGGTTGGATCGCCGCCTGGGGGACCTCGGGGGAGGGGACGTGAACAAGGAAGGGACTTTGATGGCGTTCCATGCTCGATTGGAGAACTGGACTATCGCTAGGACACTTTACGATCGGGTCGTGGTGCAGGGGAAGGCGACTTGAAGTGCGAACTGGCAACGTGCGGGAAAAGGAGGAACGATGCCCGATGGCAAACCCCCGTGATCTGAGCCTCCCTGCATGGTCTCCGTTTGCTCTAGCGCTGACCTGAGGTGAGTCGAATGGAATGAAGAAGTGATGCACGAATGCCAGCGCCATCGGCCACGCGCCATCGGCCACGCGCTGTCAAGTCGTGGAGCGATTTGGCGGCGGCCTGTGGCACGCCTTCATCGCCAGCGACGTTGCTACCGATGACGTTGCGAAAGGCATCTAGAACACACCTCCAGACATGCGCGTAATGCGTCGACTAGCTCTCGTGGTGAACCTGCCATGGACGTTGGCCAGCCGCATGACGATGTCCGACCTGACAACACATCAGCGGAAAGTGGTTCGATTCCAAGGGGACGCCGGTGCGATCCCACGCATGTCCCCAAATCGAGCCACGTCCCTCCACCAGCGGGATCGAACGCCCGCACGCTGTACACGACAAAATCGTTGGGCCTTGTGCCGGCGAGATCAAGGCCACCTACGACTGCCCCGTGAGCACAGCAATCTGTTGGATGCCCGTTGGATACATGGGCGCCGATGGACGCCGTCATAATCCACTTGAACAAGCCGGGAACCATGAATTGTGTCGGCAAGCACGCCGAGTGCACAAGCGCTGTCGTCTACTACGGCAGCCAGCCCCGCCCGTGTGTGGCTGCGATTCTACTCATCATGAGTACTCGACCGCAGGCGAGCGTCGTTGGCGCCACGACCGTCCGCCCCATAACGCTGCGCGTGTCGGCTGAGGCAGTCTTGGCCATGACCGAGCTAGCCAATGCCCTCCACTAATTTTGACTTCCTCAAGGGCGTCATGTGTGAACGGTAATCACGTGGTAGTGGCGCGACTTTCGGGAGCTCGGGATCGTCAAAGGCTTCACGGCCCAGAGCGTGCCGTGGGCCCGGACTACCCCAAGGCGCTCATGCAGACACCAGCGAGGACTGTCCAAGGCGTCCCAAATGATGCACTGGTCGTTGTCCATGAATGGACATGGCGGCGGCAAGCATCAGTCCATTCAGAGTGAAACCCGAAGTGGCAAGCTCGCACCAACTGCCTCGGAATTGCAAAGTGCGTCGGGGGGCACCTCCCTCACGCCTGCCGCCACGTTGGGAGATCAGGGGGGGGTTGTGTTGGGATAACGTAGGAATGTGCTATTCGTTGGGCCAAGGCACGACCAACTTGCGGATCGCTGCCCCCAACCCGTCGGCATCCCGCGATCTCTTCCCCTATAGATGACAATCCGAATTCGCCCCCTCGACACGCCCCACAGCAGTCCACACCCCTTCGCGTCTACTAGTAATCACTGGAACCGCCGGGAACAGGCCGACCATCGTCTTGACGGAAAGAGTGGAAACGGCATGTCGCGGGGGACCGGGGAGCGCGATCTCGTGCGACGATGTTACAAGAGTTAAATACATACGTAGCACGGACGTGCTCAGGGGTTGAGCAGGAACGCAATGCTCATGGGCGACGCCTCGGCGGCCTCCGCTTTGATTCCAAACGGTTCGGCCACGTGCAGGTCGAACGGCGCCTGTGTGACATCGTCGTGGGTGGGAGCCGTGTTCGAATGGTGGAGATGTTTGTGGCGAATGTAGTAGGCCTTGAAGTACGCCTTGTTGCGCTCGTAATAGAGCTTCATTTGGGCCAAGTTGCGCGACCGGTACTTTTCCCGGTACTCCTTGTGATATGCAGCCACCTTGTCTTTATTGCGTTCCTTGTACTCGTGGATTTTGTCCTTGTTGCATTCGCGGTACTTCTTTTGCTGGGCGGCGATCTTGGCTTTGTTTCGGCGACGGTACTCCTTGAAGTAGTCGGCGCGGCTCCGCTTGTCTCCGTTCATGGTGGTGGGGAATCGTGTCGTTCGAAAGGGGGGAGGGGTGGGGTGTCGAGCCCGTGGGGGCGAATTCGAGAATGAATCTGTTCGCAGCGCGGCCGTTGGATGGGCGGGACATGTCCCCCCCCGACGATACCAGCTCCTCCCGATTTGTTCCGAGTATTTTTTAACGCAGCTTTGAAACGCCCCGTGGGACGACGACGCCACCAGGTAATCCGAGCCACGACCGATCACGCTGGCGTTGGGACTGGAAACGGCGGTCAAGCTTGGGAAACGTAAGGTCGCCGTTTAGGGAAGGTTGTTCCGGGGCGGCCATCATGACCTGGACAGACAAATGTCAAGTAACCCCCTATCGACGTTTATGCAAATGGTTTACGGGAGCTAGCAGCACAGAGGCGAGCAAACTGACAATGGGGACACCATGCCTGAGATCGGGGTTGCGTACCGCGCGTTTGGCTGCACACTCGTAGCTGTTCCGTAGAAGCGCGGGCAAAAGTCGCCAATGCTCCACGTGTCCGTGCCGCAGGTACACGTTTGCCGTCGCCGGAATGATACGCAGCGAACAACAGACCCACGAAAGTCATGGCGCCCAACGCAAGAACGTGTTCTGAGAGGAATAGGATACCGTTCAACTGTTTCGGCGACACAAGGCGCCTTGTAACCCCCAACGAAGGTTCGCGAACAAGCGGGGGGCAGCTCTCCCCCCCCCTTCCGTCCGCGCCACAACATTCATCCGAGTTGCTCGTGCCACAAGGGCTCGAATGCCTACTCATCGACCATCGAGCGCGAGGTCCTGAGGTCTCTGCAACATTCCGAATTGGATGGCGCGAGTCGAACAATGGCGGGGGGGTTTTACCTTGTTTGGATGTGGGGGGGGGGCATGCGCGATCACGCCATCGATGTTGGCGATGTACATGGTTCGAAATTCTAGCACAGCACTTGAGATGTCACGGGGACAGTCTCCATCTTGATTGCTATGCTGCACACGCGAGAACTGGAAGAGGAATCAGCATGGCCCCACCAACCGAGCTGGTGCGAGTCGTGCACGTAGGTTCTATTCGGTCCTGATCCACGGAGCAGCTAGACAGCGCCACTTCCCGGCGATGAGCTCCACCGTGACGTTGCCGGGCCTAGGGCCTTATGCGATCGAGACTCTCTCCAGCGTCGAGTGCCGTCGAGCTTTAGCGCACGCTCGAGCCCTGCGACATTTGGCGACAGTGTGGCTGCATGTAGCCCAAACGACGACATCGTGGCTGGAATCACTCTAGGTCAAACGGACGGCGCTGCATGGTTACACGTCGGTTGTTCATCGCGGTGCCGTCCACACGCATTCGTTCGTACGTGGGGGGGGTGATGAATGGATGTCGCTTCCGAAATGCAAAATTGCGTCGCGAACTACTTGCACGGGCCGACGATGCACGGGACTACAGGAACTCAATTCTGTCGTCCATGCAAACTGAAGTGTGGACACCCGACAGTTCTGTATTCGCAATAGCCAAGTACGCGTTACATTGACACAGGTCGATCGAGTGGTCGTCGACGTTGGAGCTGTGAATGCGCCGCCTCCGTTGACTGTTGGCTGTCGTTTCGTGCTACCACAGGCAGCGTCGATTGCCGCAGTGCGTGCAGCGGACTCGATTGCTTCCACGGGCCCCCATTGTATTCGATATGTTTGGCCCTGTGGTTGTACTCGGACTGTGTACTCCCCGAGCGCTCTTCGATGGACCCGCATAGGCTACGACACTGTCCGACTTAGCGAACCGTAACGACAACGAGTGTTTGCAAGCAGTGTTGGATATCGATGGGTGGACGTGCTGACGTCTCTCCTGTGTTGGCGACCTGTGCGCACGTGGCCACAGTGCCGTCATGCCATGGTGATCCGAACACGGCGAGCACGACGGCCAGTCGCCGCACCGACGCGTGGCGTGGTGGGGTCGAGATCCTCGGTGGAGCTGATGTTTCAAGTCGTTCCCGTCATGATCCTTTGGCAAACACGAAGCCATCGTGGTCGGTTCATCGAACCGTTTCATGGTTTGAGCCAGGTCTGTAACCGTTCACCCGAAACGCCGTATGCCTGTGGCGGTTACACATTCGAGACCGCGTTATCCGGATCGGACTTCGGGGGCGTTCACCTCGCGTTGTGCAGCCGACGAGAATGCGCGTCCGTGTGGCGGACCTGGCACGTCCTGGTGTCCACAAGGAGCGTCTCCGGTGGCTCCGCGGCACAGAATCCATAGATGGCACGCACGTCTTGTACTGGATGCAATCGTCGCTACGGACGAAATTCAACTACGCGCTGGAAGTCGCCATCGATGCCGCAACCCGCCTGCAACAACCGCTGCACGTTCTCCATACAATCGACGCGGCATCCACCAAGTCGGAGCGGCACATGGCGTTCCTCTTGGAGAGCCTTGTGGACGTACATACGTCGCTCCGCACGCGGAATCTACGCCTTAACGTTGGCTACGGTCCGTCCACCGTGGACATCGCCCTTGCCGCGGCCCACGGCGCCTCTCTTGTCGTTGTCGACCACCCTTACCTTCGACACCCGGCCAAGTTGTACCAGACGTTTGCAGACCAAGCCACCTCGACCGCCGTGCTGCAAGTCGAAGGCGACGTCGTCGTCCCAGTGGAGCACGCCAGCGACAAGGAAGAGCACACTGCCCGCACGATTCGACCGAAAATCACCAAGCTCTTGGATCGGTACCTCAAACCGCTAGCTCCAGGCACCCCTCCTGCTGCTGTCTGTGCCAATGTATCCCTTGCAAACAGCCTGGCCATACCGTGTTGCACGTGGCTCGATCCGTCGCAGTCCGTGGACGAGTTGCTGGCGGCGACGGCGGGATCGCTCGACACGTCCGTTGCCCGCGTGCGAACATATCTTGGCGGCGAAAGCCAAGCGCAAGCGGCAGTACAAGCGTTCTTCAAGGCGAAATTGGCCAAATATGCCACGGCCCGGAACGAACCGAGCGGCGACGGCAGCAGCAACCTGAGTCCATATTTGCACTATGGAAACGTATCCCCCGTCGACATTGCGCTGCAGACAAAGGCGTTCGCCGGGACAGGGCCCGCCGTTGCCGCATCCAAGGCGTCGTTCCTGGAAGAGCTCATTGTGCGCCGCGAACTGTCGATGAACTTTGTCTGGTACAACCCGCGGTACGACGCATTCGACGCTGCGCTGCCCGCCTACGCCGTGCTGACGCTCCAAGAGCACGCAGCCGACAAGCGGGCCATCACGTACTCCAAGGACGAGCTCGACATGGCCAAGACCCACGATCCGTACTGGAACGCGGCGCAGCTCGACATGGTGGTCACGGGCAAGGTGCGTGCGTCGGTGCTGTATCGCCTTCATCCCGGCATAGATGCAAAACTACATGCGCATGTACTGGGGCAAGAAGATTATCGAGTGGAGCGCGACGCCACAAGAAGCGTTTGCGACTGCCATCGACCTCAACGACAAGTACAACCTTGACGGCGACGATCCGAATTCGTACACGGGAGTGGCGTGGGTGTTTGGGTACGTGCACCTTGTCTGCATGGCGTCGGTTGTGTGCGGTGGCCGATGGGACGCGCGGCAGGTCGCCGAGGGCCGCCACGACCCTCGGGCGATGCCGCCGCCTAGCCGAGAATGCGATGGCGTGTGCATGCTTTGGCATACGGCGTCGGCCGCTAGGATGAACTCACCACGTGCGTAGAAAGCACGACCAGGGGTGGAAGGAGCGCGACATTTTCGGCAAGGTCCGGTATATGAACGCCGAAGGCCTCGAGCGCAAGTTTGACATGGCGGCGTATTTGGGCAAAGTCCGCAGGTTGTGCGCCAAGGCGGGCCGCCCAACGGGAACGTCCTTGGACATGCCTGTCCGAGCGAAGAAAGCCACGGCGTCCAAGCGGAAACGAGCGTAAGTCGGCGCTCTCGGACACGATCCAGTTGAATCCATGGCACGGCGGCCATGGCGTCTGCAAGGAACGTGTAGGGAACGAGGTGTGCAATGGGTGTCGAAGTTGCTTTTCATGACTCTTGCGCACGTTCGCGCCGCCTCCCGTGATCACGATCCTCGTGAACGAACCACCTCAACACGTTGGGCGGATGCGTTGGCAAAGAGCAGCTCATGGCGCTGTTGGCTGGTTGCAGGGGTGTTTGGTCGCCGAGGGGCCGCACCGCGCAGCACGCACGTGGTCACCGGTCAGTTGTGAGTTGGCGCCTTCACCGCCTTGTTTGTTGGCGCGGCGGTGTCTTCCTGCCGTCGGCAAGCAATGGAAAATGCAGCCTTCTGTCACGTCGCCCATGGGCATCTTGTCGTCCGGGATTTTGTTCCCGGCGAACTGGACTCGGCGAGTCTTCGGACAGAAGATCACGATTGCTGCGGCGAGTTGTCGCACTTTCACGCGGCACGCTGGAAGAAGGTCGCCGAGCCCCTGGGGATTGCCATGAAATGGACAAAGAGGAGGAAGGATGTACATGCGGTGGCTTGGTCGCAGCCCACCAGAAATTGCCTTGGCTCCCCAGTGTTGCTGCGACTCGTGGCTCGGGTCGTCAGCCGGCGGAGGGCCATGGAAGATCGTGGGGCGGCATTGCAGCAGACAGCGAAGAGGCGATGCGCATGGACATCCGACTTGATTCGGGCAGTGCGTGAACTGGATGAAGAGGAATGGCATGTGTGGATGGGGACTGTCCGTGGCATCATACAGGAGTCCTTCACTGGACATTGGGTTTCATCTGCATCTCCACCTCGATGCATGGGGCTCCAGCAAGGCACTGGCTGGAAGGTGATGGAATGCATGGCATTGCCACTGCTAGTGGCGCGCAGGCGTTGCGGCTCTCCACACGCGGGGCCATTCCCTTCTAGCTGCGCATGCACACCAGAATTGTATTTTTCTCCGTTACGACGTGCGGTCGACATCGTCCGTCGTGATCAAGAATGCTCCGCCTTCCCACTCGCACGACGGCAGAAGCGGTGTCGGTGGCTCCATGAACGCGCGAAAGATCCCGCCGATCAAGATGAATCCAAGGGACATGCCTGCACCCCACAGGAAGTTCTACAGCACGAGCATCGTCACGACAGGGTTCGCAACAACATGACTTGCGTTACCGATTTCATCACTTGGCCAAATGTTGGTTCGGGCTGGTGTTCGAACGGAGGTGGCTGGTACGCCGCTGGGGCAGGCGTTTCAGCCGTGGTTTGCAGCGCGTGCGAATCTTCCACTTTATCTGGCGTCACTCGTCTCGAATCCTGCGCAGAGCGTCGCACGGCCTTCGGCGGCCGCACCGCCGCGCTGAAGCATCGACGTAACATCGTCCAGATGAATCGCCGAAACCAATATCCGGTATTCTGGTGGGATTATCCGGATTTTTGATGAATTTTGCCGCGCGCCTCATGCTGCCGTCCACTGGCAACCGCGGCAGCTCCTTGGGTCGCGCTCGTGGTGGCGCGATGCCTGGCGCGCTATAATGTCGTCCGTACAGACTTTATTGAGTGTCGAGCATAGTCGAATTGGCTAATGAAGTTGCCATGATCTCGACAAATCGATAGGTTCGCCGTGCCAAGAGTTCGTGTCGTGGGGCGGTCTCGTCGCGACGACAGGTTCATGGAATGGAGCCCCAAACTCGAGCCTGCCGCCCTTGAACGTGCCCGAGAGTCCTATCCAGCAGTGGACTGCGTGGCCTGAACTCGAGTCCCTCTCCTCCGACTGTTCACAAGTGTTTGCATTCAACACATCCTAATCATCCCACTCGTCGTCGCTGGCTTCGTCATCGCTGGGGTCATACTGGGTGTGCTTCTGTCTAGTTGCCATGACCATCGCAATCGAGTCGTGGATGGTTGGCGCAGCGAGGGGTGCCGCTTGAAGCGGCCGCACAGCGTTGACCGTACTCGGCTCCGTGGGCTGGTCAGTGCTTTTCCGAAGGGGCGGGGCGCTTTGCAATGCAGCCAGCAAACTGTTTGCTGGCGGCGGTGGCATGGACGGCCGCGGGGCGACCGAGGCTCCGGACAGGGACGTAGTGTGTGGTGTGTGTGTGTCGTCGGGTTGGGCAACTTTGTTCAGCTTTGCGCCTTGGCGAATGGCGGCGAGGAGGTCTCCACGACCGCCGCCAAACAAATTTGGGCGTCCCGTTACGTTCATGGCCTTGGAGCTGGGTGGTCTGTCCAGTTGGGCCTTTGCCGACGGTGGTCGCGTCTCTTTCTTCTGGGGTCGGTCGTCGAGATCGAGTCGGCGGGTGCTGTGGCTCGTCGATCGCGGGCGGTCCATTGGCGGCGCCACGACGCTTTGCTCCATCGGCTCGGGGGGCTCCACGGAGGAAGCTACAGAAGCTCTCTCATTCTCCACGTCGTCGTCAAACAAGTTGCGCTTTGGTGGCTTGGGGAGGCCAGGCATGGCTTTGTGAACGGAAGGGTGGTGGGACTTCCTCGACGACGCCGCGCCAGAGGTGGTCGAGGTGGCTGGTGGCGACGCGTGCGCCACCGTGCCGCGGACAAGCGTCGCCGCCATGTCCGGCGGCACGCCAAACGACGCGTGGAACGAGGGATGCGCTGCGACGGAGCGCAGTTGGACCAGCGCCTGCAAGTACACGAGGAATTCGGCGGCTCGTTTCTGCATGTTGTCTGGCTTGGTCGGGTTCCGAAGCAAGTGTTTCGATGGAAACTTGGGCAAGTCGTCCGTGATACTGCGCTTGAGGTCGCCGTGGATAGCGTCGAATTCGTGGTAGCTAAAGCCGAACTCGCACTGGAGCGGTGTCGACGCGTCCACGCGGAAGGCAAAGCGGTAGATGGCGATGGACTTGCCTTGGCGAACCTCCACCACTGCAGACACGTACGAGACCGAGAGGACCGCGGGAATGGCGGCCGTGGGCGGCGCGTGCGCCAAGGGAAACGGGTCTGCATGTCGATCGACACGATCAGCACACGGACACCGCGGAGAAGCACGGCATGAAGTACCTCGATCGACGGCGGGGCCGCTGTCGTCGTCATCTTCGCTGCTGCTGCTGTCAAATAAACCCTTTCGATCCGCAGTGGGGTTGCTGCTCCTCGAGATAGGTTTGCTGGAGACGTGTTGACTCAGCGCTCGCGCCAGCATGCGCTTGCCTTCGGCACTCAGCTGCGAGTCGCGCGAGCGTGCGGACCGTGCTCTCGTCATGCTGGGCACCGAGTCCTCTTTTTGGTCGTCATCGCTGGCTCCTTGGAGCCCCATCCCACTCGTCCTCCGCCCATCGTTCCAGTCGGACGCGTCACTAAACTTTCGATTTCTTTTGATCGCGTCGAGGGCATCGGCCATCGGGTTGAACGGTCGATTCGGCCCTGGCGGCGGTGGTGGCGGCGGTGGAGGCGTGCTTCCTGCACTATTCTTCGATCGACATGAGTCTCTTCCTGGGGGACTTGGCGGCAGACGTGGCTGGAACGCGACGTCTTCGGTAGACGTGATCGAGTCCTGTGAGCTCGCAGTGCTCTGGCGCCCGCCACTTGCACTTCCAGCAGCGTGGTGGCTGGCTCGATAGGCTTCGTCTCCTGTGAAAACTACACGCCAACCATCAACCTGCAACGTCGGTGATGCCGCTACGTACATTGGCCTGGAGGCGGTAGTTCTACTTTCACTTTGGCCTTGCGCTGCACCAGTACAGACGCCGCAGCGACGTCGCCAAAGTTGGCCTCGTTCGCGTCTGCCAGCACGACGACCTTGCCGCCACCAAGCAGCTCCATCCGCCGGCGCAGGACCTGTTTTCCCACGCGGCCGACTTGCTGGCCAGCCTTTTTGTTCAACCGTTTCTTTCGATCGCGAAGGAGCGCTTCCGTCTCTTCATCCAGCGTGCCAAGTCCGTCCTTGCGTTGCAGCGGCGTCATTTGCTCAATTTCGAGTTCGCGGTCGCGACGTTCCTGTTTCTTCTGTGCTATCCACTTACGCTTGAACTCTTCTTCTTGCGCTTTGAGCTCGGCCTCCTTCTCGGCTTGCTTTCGAATGTCCCGTTTGACTTTGCGCCGCTCGCGCTTGATTTCCTCTGCAGCCGCCGACGTGGGGTCGAGCACGGCCACAAGTGCACGGCACCACCGTTCCAGGTCCAGCCGGTTCTCCGCAGCCAAGTAGATGGACGCCGTTTGACTTTTGTCTTTTACCTGGAGCTCCATGCCGTACGAGTCCAACGGAAGGACACCTCGGCCTTCCCACTTGCAAAACCCTCGAACGGTATACGGTCGGCCTCCGACGCCGCTAGCGGCCGATGTCTCGGTCGGATACATTCGTAGTTGGCACGACCATGACAATTGACAGTACTGCGTCTGCAGGCTGCCTCCCATCGCCGGGAGCCACAGCAGGTACCCTTCATGCACGGGTTGCCGCTTCTTCTCCATGGTCGCAGGTTTTTGGGGCAGTCCCGGGTGTTTGTAGCGTGTGACGTATCCGGTTATCTTCCGGATACGGGCCGCCCCTCGATTCGGATTGGCTGCCAACACCCCCAGTAGACCAACATTCCGATTTTTAAAGATCCCCACGTTTGTGGACATGGCCCCAAGAGCTCCAGGGCCGCGTCGCGCTCTGGCGGCAAGATGCGATGCGGATGCTTCCTAGCAAGGCAATGAAGACATATCGAGTGAAAGGGCGCTGTTTGTGAGTGCTCGAGGCGTTCTGGTGAGTTTACACTGCCTATGCGTGGCTGGCAAGACACTGTACGCCGGACAAACGCAAGTGGGAGGGATGGCTCGTTCGATCATGCGTTCGAAGGAAACTTAAGGTGACGGCGACGCGCCAGACGACTCAGGTTGGACGAGGTATACGTTGAGGTGGAGTGGTAGAGATGGCCGACTCGACGACGCGATGGGGACGATGGAAGCATGTGCAGACCCGCGGTCGTCCATCGCATCAGCCGGGGTCGCCAGGATCCACGACTGCTGGATATCATGCTCGCATACCAACGTTTCCGGTACTGTGGCTTCTTCACTTGTCCTTAAATACATTCGAAATATCCGTTCGTCGTTGCCATCGAAAGCATGGGCCGCAGCTGCTGCGGACAACTGCACAAGCGATCGGCGGAACAGTTCGTCCAGTTGGTCCTTCGCATCGTCCTTCGCCGAAATTAGCAGCATGCGCAGCTCAAACACGCAGGTGGTCAACAACGCCCCGGTTTTCGTCGAGCGCACAGCCACCGACATCGATTCCACTCGACCTTGCACGATCCACGGCCGACAGCTCGCGAGCACACTCTGCACGTACTCTATGACCCGACGGTGTCTGCATATATGCACGGGCACTTCAAACTTCTTCCATTTGTCGTACAAGTCTGCCATCACACCGATCGACGTCGTGAGGACTTTTGGGTAGCACTGACAACGGCGCGGCAAACGTACCTGCCGGGTACACGCTGTAGCGGTACCTTCAACAAGAACAGGTCAGTCGTCCAAGGTATCGGAAGCCCATCTTACAGGAGCTCGTGCGTCGCGACTTCGAGGAAACCCACGAGCGTATCCACGGCGGCATCGTCGACTTTGAGGTGGGCCATTGTCGATTCGAATTGCCGCAGAAGAGAGTGAATGTACACCAAAGAATTTTATATTCTTCATTCGTAGATGTTTTCGAAATATCATTTTGCAACGACTGAATTCATCGTTTGAAGCAAAATTGAGCGGATATATTGTGCATCATCAATAATTAATTGCTGTCGCAAAGGTGGCAAAAATGGTCATGTACTTCATATTTATATTATAGAACAGTTCATAGAGTCGACCGGCATATTTTGACCAAGGATTTTCGAGAATGCTCGGACGGCGACGCGGTTACTAAGTATCCCGCTCGCCATCCCAACGGCGGGAAAGAGTGCGCATGTGCACATGCTCGTGCGGCAACCGCGACGGCGGGTGAGTATCACGTGCGGCAGCGGAGCTGAAGCCGATTACCCCACAGCACATGACGCATCTCTCAAGGAGAGGAAGGCCACTCGTGCTCGAGGTCGAACGAGATTTGGCTGGACCGCCACTACAAATACACGCGGTCACTTTCTGCGCTTACATCGGGGGTCGGTCGGTGGACGACGATACTTCTACTCTGGTGCGACGAGAGGGCTAATTAATTCTATCCTATACTGCTACATGAAGCGGACGCTTCGAACTGGTACAACCAAGTGGCTCACGCCCCTGGCGCGGCCGTCCCGTTGGGTGTGGGCGGAGTGGTGTTTCGCAGGCGCTTCAGCAGTCGCGCTGCTTCGGCGGTCGTGGACGACACAGATCCACGTTTCCGTGATGTCCGTGGCGATGGTGTGGTCGGTGTGGCGGGGATGAAGTCGGTTGTGGTCGACTCGGTTGAGACTGTGGTCGAGTTGACGGAGGGCTCGCCCGTTTGGGCTTGCTGGAGCTGGACGAACAAGTCGCAGCCGTAGTTGGCATCGTCATGGACTTGGAATAGTGTCATGTTCACGATGGCTTGCATGGTGCGTCCGCCGACGGGGATGTCGCGGACGTCGGGACGCGAAATATCTTCGTCGACGAGGAGCGCGGTCTTGATCGTCGACACAACGAAGCGCCCGGTGAGTTCCTTCTGGAACTCATGGCGGCAATAGGGGCACGTGTTGCACCGCGCGAGCCACTGTCGAATGCAGTCTGTGTGGTACGAGTGTTTGCATGGGAGGGCAACGACCGTCGCGTCGTCGAGGCTATTCATGCAAACGGCACAAGTCGCATCGTCCAACTTGGTGGCCGGGACTTGCCACGTCGCGAGCTTCTCCAGGATGCTATGGCTCGTGGGTTTGTACGACTTGAGGTACGGGACGATGTACTGAATCATGAAGTTGGCCCAGTATGGGCTCTCGAAGACGCCCATGACGCTCGCGACCGTCGCCGTCGGCAGCGGCTTGTACTGGACGTTCACGCTGACATGGACACCTTTGTTGGTAGCGGTCGCAGCGGAGTCTGGACGCATCGTGCTCTTGGCGAGGAGAAATGAGAACTGAGCTGCCGGCGGTGTTACCGTCCAGATGGCGATCGAGTGCTAGGCACGGTGGCAGAACGGTCCGGCGGTCATGAATTTGTAATATCTATCGCCAAACCTTCGACGGTGGAGCGCGTTCGAAAAAAAATACGACATTGTCGTATACAAATCGCAAGATATACAGAGTCGGTTTGGATTCGAAGATTTGTATGACCGTCGAGCCGTGTGCGATATAGAGACTCCGACTTGCTGCCCGTGGCACGCCGCCGCCCTCGACCGCAGCATGAGATGCGCGTTCCCGCAACGAGCTACGGCTATACCCAAGGGCGGCGTCTTCGTGATCAGGCTTCTGGGCCGTTCGACCGACGTCGGTCGCCCCGAGGATGGCAGGCCCGACGAAC